CTGGCTTGGAGGGCCGAAGGGCCTGTTCCTGTGCTGTAATTTTCTTTGTTCATATCAAGGGCAGGATAAATAACTAGTTCAGTTGAGTGATAGAGAAAGAACAATCAAATGGAATTGTCTGGCGTGAGATTTTGAGAATCGTTGATCAAGTTAAACAAGATTTCACAGTATCTTGAGGCTGAAGAGATAGTTCCCGCAGTCATGATGCGCCTGTTTTGGATCTCCAATGTGTCTTGGACAGCAGATTGAAACAATCTTGAGACGTTTAGTTGTCGCATGAGCAACTGGATTTACATGTGTTAGAATAGTTTAGTGCTTGCTACTCACAATATATGAGTACTGTAATGGCTTATTGAGTAGATATTTTTAATCGGCCTGTTCAATTATGTTATGACACATGTCTGGAGCAAGTAGGACCTGAACCTAACACTAACTGTTTTGCTCCAATATGAAGACAGTACCAGTATACCACAAGAGCTCCTCTTCGCTTATTGAGTTGATTTGATCAAATAATGAGTCATCTTCATGGAAGGCTGGTTTACAGGATTTGCACTGAGGAAACAGCACCTGAAAATGGCAAGAAAGAAAGCGTTGCAGTTTGGCAGTGTGTAAGCAACCCTTATCTCTGGATTATGTTGAAAATTTTGGCATTTCTCATTTTACACTGCAAAAACAAGAAGTTATTGTGACCTATTTTGTAGACTTGAAATGATGGTTAAACTCCAGCCATTTTCTACATGAAGCTTTTCTCAGGTTAAGTCATTTCTGCCAATCTATGCTGGATGAAGGGAGCCAACTCCACTACATGCCAGATTAAGTACTTTCTTGCCCTGTTTTGTTTTAGTGTTCGATCTGTTGTAAAGGAAATCTTAAATAAGATGAAATCCCCCTTCTTAAAAGATCAAAATATGTTGTGTGTAAGTTTATGAGTGTTTTTAAAAACAGCAATACTTGACAATTTTGACCTTAATTATTGCTGGATAAAAAGACTTTATTGATAAATTCTTGGGATTTTCTCCTGGGCTGCAGAGGACAGTTTCTTACTACAAACTCATGTAGTGTAGCTTTGAGAGAACCCTTTTTCCGTCATGATATTTAATCCAATTTGATCATGGATTAGCATCCTGTAGGTAGGAGCCCCTTATTGATCTGCTTAATAAAAGTAATAAAACACTTGGATTAATAGAATCCAGGTGTGTTTGAATATCAAATCTGCTTTTTTTTTTTTGGAGATTAAAGTAATAACCTTTATTTTATTATGGTGATATAAGTGACCTAGTTCCTCAACAGATATCATTGAGGAATGAATGACATGACTTCATTAGCTTCTATAGAATTCAAGCTTTCTATACAAGTACAATAACAGAAGTTGCTGGAAAAACTCCGCAAGCCTGCAGCATCTGTCATCTCCAGAGTTCTGAAAAACGGTCACTGGACGTGAAACATTAACTGAGCTTTCTCTCCACAGATGCTGCCAGAACCAGCACAGGGATGGCATGGTGGCTCAGTGGTTAGCACTTCTGCTTCATAACGCCAGGGTTCAATTCCACCCTCTGGTGACTGTGCAAACTCCACAAACACATTCCTTGCATGCCTGAGTGGGTTTCCTCCAGGTGTTCCAGTTTTCTCCCACAGTCCAAAGATGTGCAACTGGGGTGGACTGGCCATGTTAAATTGCTCATAGTGTCCAGGGATGTGTGGGCTAGGTGGATAGACATGGGAAATGCAGGGTTATAGAATTGGTGGGGGGGTTCCAGCAGTTTCTGTTTTGTTTGTTTTTCACCATTCGCAGTTCTTTGTTTTTGTTTTCTAAGTACATGAATTGTCATGTTCCTTTTAATGTTCTTTTGGTACAGCTATCTGTGAAATAAAATTGTTAATAACATTTGAAGAAAACCATCCCCTAGATGACATTTGTGTATTTACTTGAGAAAGGAAAGTGCCTGTTAATTTACTCTTTTTGCTTTGGAAAATTTTGGTCTTTAAAAATCTCTTCTGTCTGTGTCTTTTTCCCTGTCCATACCCTAAACTCTTTAGCGATTGGCCATTGAACTTTCACGTAACAGGACAGCACAAAGCTTGTCGCCACCTGATACACGCTTGAGTCCACAAACCAGTGATTGCTCAGACACGAGGACAAAAAAGCTTGTTCGTAATGAAGATCTACCAGCAGAGGGAGCTTGTTCGGTATTAGCTATCAACCAGGCGAAAGAGGAGGATGAAGAGGACAAGACAGTGCAGGATGATTCCAATGTAATTGGTTTTATTACAAGTACAGCCTTGTTCTACTTTTCATTTGTGTTTTAAAAACCCTTTTGTGTATAATCTTTCAATCTTAAGTTTTTCAAAATTTCAAAGAAGTGTATTGTGATCTCTTCAAAATCCGAAAAATCTCAAATATTACCTGCCATTAGCTTCCACAAGAATAAGTGTGATTCGCTCAGTCATTTGTGCTGCATCTATTACATAACTTGCCAATTCTATGTTTCTGCACATTTTTAGGACATTGAGATATGGCCCGTATATTTTCCTACATTTTTTTAATTGTATGGCAAATAAGCATTTATATTATTTTTAAATAGATGAAATGTGCATAACTGAGGTAGCTCTTTTTAGGCAGAGCATCGGTTGGATAGTGACATACTTCTACTCTGGTGCATTTAGTTTGGAGATGATTGACTGAATCCAGACTCTGCTACATGTGGGGCAAGTGGTGCTTGGATGGTTGGATGGGCAGGTTGTTTGGTGCTTCATGTTATCCCTCGGACACCTCAACTATGTCTCTGTGTGTTGTTCTTGAAATCTTTTCGCTGGTACCTTCCTGAATTAACCCCCTTAATTTCAATGGCCCCAAACTTGTTGTTATTGATGGGGATGTTTGACCTGAAATAGAGCTACTTTAAGGACATCCCTGAATCATTTGCCCTGTGTTTTTGCCATGACAGAATTCACACTGGAACAGTTACTTTGGGGTTTTGGTCTTGGAAATGTGAACATCATATCCCACCTGCATGTTGGTTTGGAGAGTATACTGCTGTTGGACCGCCTTTCTTGCCACTGGAATTTGGGAGGGGGAGGTTTGTGATGGCGCTGCTGGTGGTACTTCTCCAAAGCCTTGAGGCTCCCATTTGTAAGTTGTCCAAGTCTCCAAGGCATGAAGGAACATAAAATCATTGCCCAGTAAACCAGGACCTTAATCTTCGGTTTGAGATTATGGTCTTCAAATATTCTATTTCTCATTTGGCTGAAGTGGACTTGCCACATTGGAGGTGACGATGAATTTTGATTCTGTGACTGTCTTCCAAGATATGGAAGGTGGTCCATGTTTTCCAGGACTTTGTCATAGATCCAGATTGATGGAAGGAGGGATTGTATGGGGGATCTGGCTGGAAGAAAACTTAGTGTTCAATGTTTTCAGTGAGAGAGAGCTTTTGTTTGTTTGTCATACTTCTGGTATATGATGGGATATTTAGTTAATATGATTATAACAGAACATTTGTAGATTTGCTTTCGAGGCACTTTACCCCTTCAAAATAATGAAACCCCCTTGAGTTTGAAGTGTCAAGTGGATCAACACATTGTAGTAGTTCAGTTAATCATGTGTAACAGTCACTTCTGTTCTCAAATTCTTTAAGCTTTGCTTTCTCTTCTGCTTAAAAAACTCACTTAGTTCCACAGCTTGTGATTGTAGGTGATCTGGGACTGATTACTAAAGGGGTTATTTTAGGAGAATGTCCTGATCAGACACCTCACCTCAATGGAATTCATCCATGTATACTGCATGCCACAAGACACTTATTCTGATGAAAGATTGTGAATACCCTTTTCATTGCTGTGCACATTTCAAAATGTAAGTTGTGCCCCTACAGTTAGTGAAACATTTGGTAATTGAAATGTTAATTTCTTTTCTAAGTGCTTTTATTTAATGTAATATTTCTCTTTGTTTAGCATGATCTTTCCGATGGTGATTTGGACATAGAATGCCTCACTGTGGATGATGAATTGATCCAACTTGACGGCAGCAGCTCATCTGCTAGTTCCACAGCAACCAGTAATACAGAGGAAAATGACATTGATGAGGAGACTATGTTAGTATTGAAATGCAATCTCTTGCAGGTCTATTTTCTGCCTATTGGCGCTATTTATGCTCAATGTACTTTTTAAAAAAAAATCATAGTTTAAGTAAAGGAGACTTTGATTCTACAGGTCTCCATTAGCTGTAACACACAGAAATTCCATTGGTTGCTTTCCACTGCTCTCTCCTTTGTATTCCTGCAATTTTTTTCTCCCTCAGAATTTATTCAATTCCCTTTCAAAGTTTGCCAATGAACCAGTTTCCAACATCCTGTTGGTGCATTCCAATTCCTAACCAGTCATTGTGTAAATGAAAGGTTTTTCTCCCTCATTTTGCCTTTGTGCTCTTTTGCCCGATGGTTGACGTTATTGACTCTTCAGCCATGGAAATATTTTCTCCTTATTTGCAATATAAACCTGCATGATGTTTTTTCGAATTCACTCACAGGATGTTGGCTTTGCTGTCTGGAGCAGCATTTATTGCCTATCCCTAGTTGCCCATGAGAAAGTGACCCAATGACTCTGAAGGAACAGTGCACTATTTCCACGTCTGGGTTGTGACTGGCTCAGAGGGGAACTTGCAAGTGGCAGTGTTCCCATGTATTTGCTGCCCTTGTTTTTTTTTTTAAATGATCATGGCTTTGGAAGGTGATGCCTAAGGAGCTTTGGCATCTTGTTGATTGGACAAACCGCTGCTACTGAGCACTGATGGTGGAGGGAGAGGATGTGGTGTCAATCAAGTGGGCTGCTTTGTCCTGGATGGCATCAAAATTCTTGTGTGTTATCAGAGTTGCACTCATTCAGGTAACTGGAGAGTATTCCATCTCACTCCTAACTTATGCCTTGTAGATGGCAGACAGGTTTTGGGAGGCAGGAGATGAGTTACTTGCTGCAAGATTCCTAGACTCTGACCTTCTTTTCTAGCCGCAGCGACTATATGATTTGTGTCACCAGTCAAATTCAGTTTCTGCTCAATGGTAATGCCTAGTATGGTAGTGGATAAATCTGATTCTAATGCCATTGAATGTCATGAGATGATAGTTATATTCTCTCTTGTTAGAGATGGTCATTGCCTGCCACTTGAGTGATGCGAATGTTACTTGCCACTTGTCAGCCCAAGCCTGGATATTTTCCAGGTTTTGCTGCATGTAGACATGGACGCTTCAGTATCTGAGGAGTTATGAATGGTGCGGAACATTGTGCAATCATTGGCACAATGATCTTTATAATAGAAGGAAGGTCCTTGATGAAGCAGCTGAAATTGGTTGGGCGTGGGACACTGCACTGAAGATCTCCTGCAGAGATGTCCTGAAGCTGTGATGACTGACTTCCAACTGCCACAGTCTTTGTGCCAAGAATGATTCCAACCAGCAGAGAGTTCTCCCATTGATTCCCAAAGATTCCAGTTTTGCTAGAGCTCCCTGATTCCATGCTCAGTCAAATGTGGCATAATCACTTACCAAACTTTCCCTTTGCTCTCATTAGAGCAGCTTTGGCAGCATCCACATACAAGTAGTTCTGCTATAACGTGTGTTTTGTTAACGCAAATTGGCTGTAATGCAATTGATGAAAAGTGGACGCTGTTTGGATAACGCAAATTTTCTGCTGTACAAGTATAGTGATTTTCTATAGCGCGAGGTCATACAAGAACGCAACTATCGTGTTATGGGAGAACTACCTGTAACTATAAATTCTTTGTTCCTGGAACCATTCTAGTAAATCTCCTTGTTATCCTCTTGAATTTGTTTCTGAGTGCGATACCTAGAATTAGGTACAATGTTCTAACTAGGGATGAACTAATGTGTTGCACAAGTTCATTCTAACTTGCTTTTGGCCAGAGTTTGTGCTCCTAATTTAACATGCAGTAGCACTACTGGAGAGATTTGGACCCTTCTTCGATGCCATTTGTCCCCTACAAAGACACACCTTTTGTGGCACTTGGACAAGATGCTTGACGGCTACCATGGCTCATGAGTTTGCACTCTCCTTGAATCAGTCCGTTTGAGCAGGCTCGAGAGAATTTTCCACTAGGACATCAAAGAGTGATCCTGCGCTATATTCTTGATCTCTGATGTGCTACTGTTGAGTTACTTCAAAGGGAAATGAATGATGGGAAACTTTGCTCAAACACTCTATGCATTCTGGTGACCAATTTATAGTAGCAGGAGGTGGCCAGATAAGTCTTTCTCTTTGGCAAGAATAAATTTTACTAAAATTATTTTAGTTTTGTTTGATCTAAGAGCTAGGGAGAAGATTCCAAACATAGCCACTGTCAAATGCTGACGTTACATGAATAATTGGTTCACATGATGCTTACTGATATAAAGATTTCTTAAGAACGTGAACTTGAACTTGTGCAAAGATGACTTCTGAGGAAATTTTTACACATTTTGGTCCCAGGTGTGTCTTGGTCCCCTTCCAGTTTTTAAAGTGTAGGTGGTTGAGATTAGAATTAGGAGCCACTATATAAGACTAAGAGGTCTCACTTTTAAGATGGAGATGAAGAGAAATTTTTTTTCTGATGGTCATAGCTTGTGGAATTCTCTTCCCCAGTAAACAAAGGAGGCTGAGTTATTGAAATTATTCAAAGCTGGTTGGACAGATTTTTGGTAGACTGGCGAGACTAGGGTTTTGGATGTTGGGGTCAGACAAGAAGGTGGAGCTTACATCACAACCACATCACCTATTTTCTTATTGAATGGTGGAATGGGCATGATTGTTAAATGGCCTATTCCTGTTTTTAAGTCCTGTGTTCCTGTATTGAATTAAGCTCAAGTAATAGCAAAAAAGTTCTTTTTAATTAACTTTTAAAGCTGTACTTTTTCAGGTCTGGAGAGAATGATGTTGAATACAGCAACAACATGGACCTGGAGGAAGGAGAGTTGGATGATTCAGCTGGAGCTTCTGGTAAGACTATAATTGAGGATATTTGAAATATCTCGCGTTTTGGTTGGAGATGGGGAGCAATTTTTTCTTGCCATTTTTGATTCAGTATCATTCCCCATTCTCGTATTTTAAAGTTCAGGTCCAGATGAAAAGTAATCCGTCAGGAGTGAAACATCAATTATTTTGCATCAAGGTTTATATTTGAGATGAATTAGATGCACATTTCACAGGAACAGAGTGAACCATTCAGCTATTGAACTTGTTCAGCAATTTGGTTAAATCATGCCTGATGTTATTTGTCTGCCTTGGTTCTTTTGGCCTTGATACCCTTCATTGTGGGAAATGTTAACAATCACCGGTACTGAACTTTTCGGTTGACCCCCTCTTAATCGTAACTGTTATTTTGCAGGGGAGAGCAAAATTACCCGTTTGAGAGGAGAGAGGTGTTTCTTGACATCATCCTTGAATGGGCTAGCTGAAATTTTATGTTTATTCCCACGTTGTTCTGAACTTCCCTATCAAAAAAAATAATCACTAGTGACCCAGGTATTTTATCCTCCTCCTTCTCATCTTCCACTATTGGGAAGAGTAAGCACAAAGTACTCATTTAACAGACTGCAGTTCTCTTCTCTTGCAGTTGGGGAATTAGATCCCCATTCTGTATCTCTGTATGATTGATTCTCAAAACAGTTAAGCCTGGGTTAAATCTGTGTAGGATTGACAGCTCCGTCATTTTCTCCTTCTGTGGGAGCATCCCATTTGATGAGTTTAAACGCTGTGATTTGGCCTCTTCCTAACGCTTCAGGTGAATTCTGAAAGGATGAAAGAGCCAAAAAGGGCAGAATTCATGAATAAGAAGGAAATCTTCTTGCCAAAAACCTCTTACTTGTGTCCATATTTATCATTTTGACCTTTTTAGCATTCCTACAAATTCTAGCTGGCTATGCAAATGTGACTTGCCATGCAGTGATTTTTTTTGTTTAATTGGGGTATCCGTGCCACTCTTGTAGTTACTGGTGATTCTTTAGCCAGAGACTTGTACAATTTTCTGCAACATAGCATTGGAGGTAACAGTCCCTCATTGAGTATCTTGTCAGAGATAAATAAAAAATGATAGAGAAGGAAATTTGCCTCTTCAAAAAAATGCTACTGGTAACGTTAGTCAGTCCACCATTGGCATAATGACATCATCATCGCTATCCTTGGAATAGAGAGGAAAGAACTACGCATGTTGAAAATGCTGAAATAAAAGCTAAAAATGGTGCAAATGCAAGGCAAGTTCATCAGCTTCGGTCAGAAACTTGGACTTTGGGTGCAGGCCCTTTTCAGAAAATGGGCTCGGAGATAACTGAGCTCTTTAGTACAAAAACAGGTGAGAAAGGAATACGAGTGGGAATGTCCAAATAAGAATTTTGTCCCAACAACCATACTCCTATTCTAAAGACTTTATTGTCAGTCTATTTACATGTAGCTATTCATTTTAATGTAGTGAAGCATTATACATGTAACAAATTCTTGGTGTTGTGGATAAATTGTCATATTGCTTGGATAGTTTTGACAGCTTGAGTTTATCCTGTTTGGTGGAAGTTAGAAGCAGTAACTAATGCTATCATGGTTTCCTTTCAGAAGATTACATTTCTTTTTTACCTAGCAGATTCTTTTGGACATTTTTTCTCAGTAGATTCTCTTCCTTTTGTTCCTTGCGTATTTTTGTCATATTTATACTTTTGATTTCCTTTGCCACAGGAGGGCTGAGCAACCGCAGTAGGTCCTCAAGACGGGGCATGGGCAGTCTGTCATCTGCAGCCAGCAGCAGTCTGCTTGACATTGACCCAGTCATTCTCATACAGCTGTTGGACCTGAAAGACCGGAGTAGCATGGAAAATTTGTGGGGCCTTCAACCACGCCCACCAGCTTCCCTCCTGCACTCTGCAGGTATCATGCACAGTCTATAATTTATAATGTAATGCAATCTATGCAATACTTAAGACATCTTGGTTAAAACTCCAAAATTAGGAGCCATAAATACAAGATAGTCAACCATAAATCCAGCTCGGAAATTTAGGAGGTCCTTCTTTCCACTAGAATTTCGTCAGAATTTGGAGCAGCAATTCATATGGATAAGTTCATACAGGAGAAAGAAATGGAACTTATTGCTGATGGGGTGGTGAAAAGTTGGGAGGGAGAAGGTTTGTATGTAGTATTAACATAGAATGCACTTGTTGAGTTGAACCATCTGTGTCTGTGCTGTAAATTCAGGGTAATTCTACGTAATTCCAAAACTTGGTCCCACCTGAAGCCCAGAACTGAGGAGATCAGCTACTTCAACTTCATGGAGAACTTCTCCTCAACACCCTCAGAAGATTTATTTAAAAAAAAAAAAAATTTGCTGCACTTGTACTAGTTGACAGCTGCAGTATTTGGCACAAAGCCAAATCTTCCAAAGTTCTTGATATCTAATGATGCAGTTGAGAAATGGAGTCTCAGTTATTGTATAAGAAATGCATCATTGATGCAATTTAAATTTCCTGAAGGTTTGGCGATGTTGGTAAAATCTGGTTGTTCTTACATGGCCTTTGTCTTTAAAGTGCATGTACTGCTTTGTACTTGGGAGATTACATGGCAAACTGCAGATTAAACTGTAGATTAGTGCATGCCGTTCTTCCTGTAGCTCCTCTGTACCAACCGTTCCCTCTCTGATTTGAACATAGTATTCCATCTGACTGCATGGAGTTCATGGTGTCGATGGTACAATATTCTTTCGTGAGTGTGAGCATCTCTTTGGCTCTCCCTTCATCTATGGGACCAGGCAAAGAGAATATTTCAGGAACAAAATCTGAAGTTGTTGGAAAATTTCAACAAGTCTGGCAGCATCTATGATTTAAAATCACAGTTAACTCAGAGTTCTGAGGAAGAGTCACCGGACCCCGAAACGTTAATTCTGATTTTTCTTCACAGATGCTGCCAGACCTGCTGAGCTTTTCCACCAACACCTGTTTTTGTTCCTGATTTACAACATCCACAGTTCTTTTGCTTTTTAAAGAGAATATTTCACCCATGCTCCTGAAATAGCTTGGATTCTCTATGGTAAGAAGCATTACAGGCAAGTCCCTTGGATACAAACGGGTTCTGTTCTGGAGTCCATTCGCAAGTCGATTTGTGCAGAAGTCAAAACATAATGCAGGACAATTTAAAGCAGCTGTTCGTAAGTGCAGGAGATGTTTGTATGCCGGGTCTTTAAAATTACACCCCTCTATGGGATCATTTTCATAAATTGGATGTTTATAAATCAGGGACCCGTTGTTTGTAAAATGTTACAGCACAGTAAGAGGCTATTCAACACAACTGGTCACACCTGACAATGTTTAATCCTCCATTCCTTTCTTTCTCATGTACTTGCCTGTCTTTCCCTTACATGCACCTTTGCTATTCATTTCAACTATTCTTTGAAGGAGCAAGTTTCACATTTCAGACTCTCCTGAATTCCCTATTGGCTAAATTAAGGATTATCTTATATTTATGAACTCTGTTTTACACCCTTTCCATAAGTGAAAACGCTTCTACTTCTGTTACTATCAAATCCTTTCAAAATTTCAAAGACATTCATTTGGTAAAACCTCTGCTGAAAGGAGCCATTGCCTGTTCAAGCATTCCTCACAGTTATGTATGCATGGATTATAAACTCCGTATCAGAGAGTTCTCCTTTGATACTTTGGATTCTAACCTTCTCTGAACCAACACTGGGACCATGAGCTGAAGATCAACAATTAGAGTATTCAAACTGACCATTTTCTAATCTCCTTTAATCATTTCTAAAACACTTAAATTGTCATGAGTTGATCCAATGAGTTTCTGAACCATACTGACCAGTAGTGTGACAGGAGGTGCACCTTAGATCAAGGATAGAAAAAAAAAGGTAACTTGAATGTCATCTTAGTTGAAAGGATTCTAATGGAAATAGCATGCTTCAATGCGGTGGGTCTCCATTTCTGCTTTAGTTGAAGGACTCTTTTTGAAAATGAATTAATCATCACCAACTCCCAAATTAACTTTGGAATATTTTTCATTTTGTTTATTTATTTATTTCATGGAATGTCAATGATATTGGCTAGGTCAATGTTTTGTTGCCCATTCCTAATTGTCCTTGAGAGGTGTTGCTGATAAGTGCCACTTTAATCTGCTGCAGTCCATGTAGTGTAGGCACAGTGCTGTATCGAAGTTCCAGGATTTTGAGAGCAGAAATAGAAACAGAAGTAGGTGTTCAGCTCCACAGGCCTGCTCCATCATTCAATAGGATCATGACTGATCCGACTTCCACTTGTCCACTTCCCTGCACTTTCCCCATAACCCATGATTAGCCTACTGATCAAGAACCTAACTATCTTGGCCTTAAATGTACACAAGGACTCTGCTCCCATAGCTCTCTGTGACAAGGATTCCAAAGACACTCAACCCTCTGGGAAGAAATTCCTGCTCATCTCTGTCTTAAGTTGGCATCCCTTTTATTCTGAGACTATGCCCTCCAGTCCTAGACTTGCCCATGAGGGAAAACATCCTCTTAGCATTTACCCTGTTCAGACCCATAAAAATCCTACATGTTTCAATGAGATCACCTCTCATTCTTCTAAACTCCAGTGAGAAGAGTCCCTGTTTAACCTATGTTCATAAGACAATCCCTCCATACTGGGCACCATCCTAGTGAGCCTTCTCTGAACTGCTTCCAATGAAATATCTTTCCCTTAAATAAAGGGATCAGAACTGCTCTCAGTACTCCAGATGTGGTCTCACCAGCACCATATACAGTTGCAGTAAAACTTCCCTATTTTGATACTCCAAACCCCTTGAAATAAGGGCCAACATTCCATTCGGATTTGATTCCATAGGATCCTTTGTGATTTCCAGCTGCATCTGTGTGTTAGCCTTTTGTGCTGCAGCTTTCTGCAGGTTTTCTCTATTTAAGCATACATTTTAAATAATACAGTGCAGAAACGGCGATTATAGTTACAAGTAAACATGAGTGTGACTTGGACAGGAACTTGCAAGTGATGGTGTTCCAAGGTATCTGCTTCCCTGGCCTTTCTGGTGGTAAATGTCAGAGCTTTGGAGCCCAAAACCAACTACTATTTTGTTCGCATACAGTTGAACAATTACATTAATACATCCAAAAGATATTTACAAAACACCATTCCCCCCACCCACCCAATTTATTTTAAAATAATTTTCACTCCCTTTTTTACATATTAGCTCAATGTCGAAAAGATCGTGAGCAGCGGAGACAGCAGACTGTGCGCCGATCGCCTCCTAATTCCGGGGTTCTGAAGAGATTGAAGGCCCAAATGGCTGAGGTCAGGAGCAAAATGTCTGAAGTCAAAAGTCAGATGTCTGAGGCAAGAAGTAGTACGGTATCGTGTGCTGATTTAGGGGTGAATTGCACCACTCATGCAGGAGATCAAGGGCCATCAGGGACATGTGGAATTGACAACATCCGGAGAAATGAATCTGGACTAGATCTCCTTTCCAATTACATAACATTTGGTGAGTTATAAACAGGGGATTGACATTTGCGTATGATCAATATGAAGAACGTAAAAATACCTGGTTTTTGCACATGTTGCTAAAATTAATTTTGGGTTTATTCAGGAAGATGGGTTTAAATCTGAAAACCATATGTTTGCCATAGCTATCTTCAGTGGGTGATGTCTGAGCAATTCTCAAAACCATTTTTGGTTTTAAGAGAAATCCTCATCAGTGTTGATACCACTCGAAGGTTTGTATACTGAAATAGTGTAAAAAGTATAACCTAACCAAGTCAAAATTTAAGGGGAGATTTGTGACGCAGTAGTAGTGACACTGCACAGATCCCTGCTTTGGAGCTCTGGCCCCATGTATTTCAATCCCACCATGGTAGATGGTGAAATTTAAGTCTAATGGTGATCATGTAATCATTGACAATTGTCATAAATATCCATCTGGTTCACTAATATCCTTTCAGGGAAGGAAATCTGTCATTCTTACCTGGTGACTTCAGACCCATTGCAATGTGGTTGACTCTTAACTGCCCTCTGAAATAGCTCTCAAGCCACTTAGTTCAAGGGCAGATAGGGATAGGCAACAAATGCTGTCCTTTTCATCCCAAGAAGAAATAAAGGGAAAAAAAAGTATGTAAAGTGTTGCCAGCTGTGCTAACTAACATTAAGTGGCTGCCAAGTAAAGAGAAACCTTGGTGGAAATGTAGAAACTTCTATTGCATATTTGCACTATGGCGTAGTGCAGCTATAATCAGCTATGAACTGCAAGCAGTGGATGAAAAATGTCACCATCAGAAATGGAAACAGTTACACCAAAGTCTAGAACTGCAGTTTAAAATTGAATCGTTATTTTTAAAAAATGCTGACCATTTCTGCAGAGTCTGTTTGTTGCCCTGTGTGGTGAACTGTGATTTGCTGAGGATTTTATAGGTGAAAGTCGAGAATGACTGCACACACACATTACACTCCTGAGAGAGTACCAGAATCAGAAGATGCTTTGGTTTAGTTGTTAAATGCCTGTTCTGTTTTATTTTATCCTACGACTGATCCTGGCCCATAAGCAAGCTACAACTGCTCATTAGACTGCCTTGCCAAGTTGACCACTTTTGACAGTCTGTCTCAGCTGGTTAACACTGTGTGTATATTACACACTTGTTATGCGTAGCTGTTATCCTGTTGGGGTTTGAAGTGATAATCTGAAATTTTATAAAGTTAATTGTGTCATGTCCAGCTTAAAAACTTAAATCTTGGTTAAATACAAGATTGATCCAAATGATGACTACCAGTTTGCGTTACAAATACTAGTCTTTCAGGGGTGCACCATGCTTCTATCTGTATATACAGTTTAGATTTATTTCAAAAGGGAATAATAATGTAACCATAGAAACTTTGCTGGATTCTTTGGCTGGCAGAAACCAAGTGATATCTGTTTCCTATTTGGATCACTCCAATTCACTGTTCAGCTAAGTCTAGCATCAGTAAAGAATTCTGCCTTGTCTTTTCTCTTTACAAACTCCACTTGGAGGGACCTGGGCTCAGTTCCATTCTTGGGTGACTGTGTGTGTATGGAGTTTGCATGTTCTCCCCGTATCTGAATGGGTTTCCTCCCACTGTCAAAAGATGTGCAGGTTAGGTGGATTAGCTATACTAAATTGCCTACAGTGTCCAGGGATGGGCAGGCTAGGTGGATTAGCATGACAAATGCTAATTATGGGGATGAGGAGGGTTGGTGTCAACTCGATGGGCCAAATGACCTGTTTCTGCACTGTAGGGATTCATCATTCTATGATTTGAGTCATTGAGTATTACAAGAACATTGTGCATTTTTTTCCAGCACTTAGTATTCCTTTACCCTATAATCAGATAACAGGGATGCAAGCTATAAATGTTTGATGGATGCTGTGTTTCACTGAATCCAGTTCTGGACTAAACTAATACCCAAGTAAAGATCACCTTAACAAAAACTGAAAATTGAAATAAATACTAATGAATCTGCTGTCTGCTTACAGCAGTTTCCCTTTTTCTGCAATGGTAAAAATAGATTAATTGCTTAGGCAAAGACTTCACCTTCAACATCCTGACAACAGGTCTTCACCTGAAATAGTAGCTTATTTTTAATAGCTGCTGAATGACTGGAAAAACAAAGCCAGTAATCTTTTGTACTTACTACTCATAGCCTGTTGAGGGGTAAGATTATTAAGTACTGTCAAAAGTATGCCAATCATAGTTTTCACACTTTTGTTCCCTCCGTCTTCAGCAAGCATTATGGTAAGTGGAGTCAATAGGGGTGGATAGAATCTGGTAAACTGGTCAAACCCAACAGCAGCTGCTTGTTAACATTGCTGGTCCTGAGAAGTGATTCAGTTCAAGGTCCATTTGAAAGGCTTGATTGAAATCTGTGCTTGTAAGGATTTGCTGAGCCATGTTTGCCCTACATTCCAAACATGCCACCATTTATCATGAAACCTATCCAAAATATTACAACGAAGTAATAGAAGTGGCATCATTCAACAACCTGATCCATTGCAAAGCTAAGTTAGAAACCTACCAACAATCCTTATAGAAATTACTTAATGCTATAGCTGGTAAACTGGTACTGGTGTGAATTGGAAAATACACTGCTATTTCCAGTTATCTCTATCTCAGTAGAATGAGGGGAATATAAGATATAATACTTTTCTTTGATTTTTCTCTCTTTCTTTCCTGCTTTGGCAGACTGGCTGTCGATGTGTCATGAATGTCGTGTCTCCTCCACTTCCTCATCCAAGTGACTTTTCCAAATGTGTGTGGGAGTCATGAGGAGGCATCATAGCTCAGCCCTCAAACAATAGCTGCATGTGCACTTCCAGCAGAGGGCACTGTGTTTCACTGAATCCAGTTCTAGGCTAACTAATACTTTAGTTAATACATCACTTTAACAAAATATGCTGGAAATCTATTTATTTAAGAAAAGACTAATAGATCTGTTTTCCATTTCCAGCAGAAACTGTATTTATACCTTTTGCTAACCCACAAACACTGGAGCTCCACAAGTGGCACCAGTCAGGCATCAAGCCTGTGAGCATTTGTTGCTCATAATGACTAGTCCATTTGGAATTGACCACTTGTTCAGTCGGAATTTAATTTTTAAACAGAATTAATTGTACCCTTTTGTAGAGCAATGTGTTAGTGAAGCGCTTTTCATCGAGTGCCTGACTGAAAATTTCCTCCTATCCTTCCTCAAAAAAAAATCCGCTTTTATGTGCTGCAGGCAGTCAAAGATACTCAGAAAATAAAGCACTAAGTACTTAGTGAAATGTTCCTAAGTGCTGGAATTTATTGCTGAGCGATCAGATTGGAGTTGCCTTGGAAACAAGACTGATTCGCTTGAGAGTACATTCTGGTCACCCTGAGCCTGTGCCTTCTGACGTCATAGCAGTAAATGCCCTGTGAACATGAATTCAATTTGAGCACATTGTGAAAAGGACATTTTTTAAAGGAAAAACGGAAAAAAGTACTCCAGTAAGCAGATTGCGTGTCTGTGGGAAGAATCACTAACAAGTTTGAACAATGAGGTAAATTGATCTCAGTAAAGAGATCTCTCTGTTTCTCTAAAGAAAAGAGGAATTGGAAACACTACCACAATTTTTTGCCCTGTCTTTTACTCATGGACTTGTTTGTACGTGGACTTTGAATTCAGCAACTTCAATTTTTAAATTCAAGAATTGATTATTTGTCAAGTAACAACTCTGCTTCTTCACTTCAATCTATCTTAATTTTTTTTCTTTTAAAAAGCAGCAGCAGGATTGTCAAGTATTACCAATTGAGTTTGTGGGGTACAGCAAAACAGATGAGCTGTGAACTTGTAAATTCACATCCTTCAATTTTACCTTTCAGCATCTACAAAGAAGTGTGGATCTCCAAAACATAGCCGCCCAGGTTCAGGGACCATTTTCTCTCTCCGTAGAGCTCTGGAATGCGGGGATAAAGATCTCCACTGCCAAGAGAATTATCAACCCAGCACAACAGGCAACTATCGTACTTCGTTTTAGTTGTTTTTGTTTATTTTATTGCTATATCACATTAGGTTGAATATATCCAAAAGTGAAGCTTCACAATAATTGAAGCAGATGATTTTGCATAGATATCATAAATTCCACTCTTAAAATATCGAGCATGTTTTGCTGTTTGAAAAACGCAACTTTTGCAACAGATGTTCTTTACATCAGACAATCTGAGTAAAGTTAAATGATTTGACACAACAAAAAGCTTGTCCTACCCATCATCTGGCCATGCTGCTGCTTCCTCCAAGCCTTGTAGCCATGCTTGTTCAGATGTCTACAAGTATGATCCATCTTGACGTTACATATTCTCTGATGCATTCCACTTCTGGTTCCCACTGCTGTCCTTCTAATGTTGTCTGCAAAGTGTATTTGCACATATGTGATGTGTTGAACTTTTTTTGCGTAAAAAAAGTCCAAGTATTTCACAGCAATTAATAGGATATAGTCAACAAAACCTACTCCTGAACTCGCCTGAAGGGTACAAACAAGAGAATAATATAGATCCTAGCAAATCATTTGGGATTTCCTTCTAAATTTCCAATGTTCTAATTTTTTCAAACGTAGGACTATCAAAGCCAAGCAGTAGACAAGGATCACCACATTGTGTAAACAAGGCAAATGACTCGGAAGCCCCATCAACCTGTAAGGCTGAGGACAGAGCTTTTATCGTTACTGCATCTGACCAATTCTGTAACACTGCACTGAATGGATTGGCAGCACTTGAAATGACACGTAAAGTTGCCACTTTAGGGTGAGAATGCATCAAATGTGGATTTAAATATTTATCTTGTGTTGAATTGCAACCAGCCTCCTCTTTGTGCCGCTGTTCAGCTATCTGTTTTATAATTCTTTCCAAACTGAAGGAAATAATTGGGCGACCTGTATTCTCAAGTTTAAAATGCTCCCAAATGGGATAAAATGCCACAAGACCCAGGAGAACAAATGTCATACCTTATGAAAGGGCATAATTTGAAGTTATCACCATTCATTATAATTCCAAGTTACTTTTGAGACGTAGCTCCTGTTGTCACTTAGACAAACAACAGCCAATATAAACCCAAAAATCCTGAAAGCAGCAAGTGAGACAAATAAAAGTGAAATACTGGAAATCTACAGATGATCTTGGATAAACTCAGCAGGTCTGGCAGCATCTGGAGAAATAAACAGAAGTAACGTTTCAAGTCCAGTATGACTCTTCAGAACAAATGAAACAAATAGAGATTTTAGTTCCTTTTTAGTGGTAATTTTAGAGAGAATTGCTGGTCAGGACATTAGGAGAATTTCCTGCTCTTCAAACTGTATCATTTGGCTTTTAATATTCACACAAACTACTTGTGCAGAACAGAGATACAAAGGGGTCTGGGTGTCCTGGTGCATGAATCACTGTTAGTATGCAGGTACTGTAAGTAATTAGGAAAGCAAATGGTTTATTGTTCATTAAGAAGCACAGAATATATAAGTAGGGATGCTTTACTTGAGTTGTACAGGGTGTTGGTGAGACCACACATGAAATATTGCACAGTTTTGTACTACTTATTTAAGAAAGGATATAGATGCATTCACAGTTCAGAGAAGATCCAATCATCTGATACCTGGGATGAAGGGGTTACTTTCTGAGGATAGGTTGGAACAGTTGGGCCTGTATCCATAGAAGTTCAGAAGAATGTGAGGTGATCTTATTGAAATGTTAAAGATCCTGAGGTTACTTGACCAGATGGATGCTGAAAGGATTTTCCTCCTCTTAGAAGTACTGGGATGGGGGGGTGCACAGTTTAAAAATAAGGAGAGTTAAATTTATTTGAGATTTTTTTTTCCCAGAAGGTTTAGAGGTTTTGAAACTTTCTTCCTCCAGAGAGCAGTGGATACAGGATCATTGAATACTTTTAAGGTATAGGTAGCTAGATTGTTGATTAATAAGGGAATTATTGAGGTAAAAAACAGAAGTTGCTGGAAAAGCTCAGCAGGTCTGGCAGCATCTGTGAAGAAAAAATCCGGTGACCCTTCCTCAGAACTGATGCTGCCAGACATGCTGAGCTTTTCCAACAACTTCTGTTTTTGTTCCTGATTTACAGCATCCACAATTCTTTCAGTTTTTATTGAGTTATTGGGGTAGGTGGGAATGTTGAGTTGTGGCCACAACCAAATCAGCCATGATCCTACTGAATGGCAGATCAAGCTTGGTGAAATGAGTAGTTTACTCCTGTTCCTAATTTGTTTGTACTGTATTTCACTTGTACTGATTCATTTTAAGTGCTACCTGCTGACAATGCAGCACATCTCCAGAACTGTAGGCCTCAATTACTTGCTCAAGTCCTACCATAGAGTTTAAACTCTTACCTTTTTATACCAAGAGGCAAGAATGCTACTAACTGAGGCAAGCTGATAGTTTGGTTCCACTGTGTTTTGTATATTTAATGTTACTATTCTTTGACTTTTTTCCCACTTACTAGTACTATTTATGGTTGCAGACAGATTTGGTTTATAGTCTGCAGCATGATAGTCGCATCTTGCCACCCAAAAAAAAGTTATTTTTAAAAGGAAGTATTAGTGATGTAGTTTGATGTTCAGAGTAAAATAAAGATTAAATGTATTCATGATATTGCTTTTAAAGTCAGTGGAGTAGTTGAACTATCAGAGATTCAATTCCAAGTGTGCACCATCAAGTTGAAGAAGTACCTTTATTTAATAGGTTGGCAGTCAAATAATGGTTTTAGACAAATTGAGTTGACAAGAATAACATCTGAGTGGAATTGCTTGTGTGTAATTTGAACCTCTCATATTCACCTCTCATATTCTCCCTGTTTGCTTTCAGGTCAGTACCCCAGTGCTGTTTAACAGATAACCAACGTTCTGATTCAGATAATGCAAGCACTGCAGGAACACATGCTTCACCTCTTGAGGGTATGTCGGGTAGGCCGGAAGAAGGTAAAATCTCATCTCATGATGCTTTTTAAATTTGTTACCTAGCTGGGAAGATGTCAAAGCAAATGCTTATGCTATTGCCATGCCTCAATGAGCTTCTAATGCCAGATGCTGTGGAAATGAACGGTTTAGTTTTGCCAGAGAGCAATGAGCATTTTTTTTAAAGAAAATGGCAGGAGGTTTAGAGGGGATTCGAAGAAAAGTTTTTTTTTAACCCAGAGGGCGGTAGAGTTCTGGAATGCTCTACTTGAGGCAAGAAATGTCATAACCTTTTAAAAAAAAAACGTGGATGAGCACTTGAAGTGACATAACATTGAAGGCTATATGGGCCCAGTGTGGGGAAGTGGAACTAGTGTATTTTGGTGGTACAGACTTGATAGGTTGAAGGACCTCTTTTGTATTGCACTATGAATGTAACTTCACTGCACAACTTGATAAGAAACATGCACGAGGTTAGTGAGGTGCTAACCACTGTTCAAATTCGGAGCATCTTTGCTTGTAGGCATGCTTATCCCTAGGCTTGTTGTTGACTTCAAAACCTTTTGGCTCCATTTTGCTTGTGTACGCTTGCCATATAGTAAGTGTGGTGGTAAAACATATTTTGATGTTGGTAAAACTCACTTGCTTTGGCATATTCCCAGCAATAGTCCTATTGTAGAAGCACCAGCTTTAGCTATGCCAAATCCATCGAACAGCTCCAATAAAAACAGAATTTTGGCAAAATGTAGCAGGCCAGACAGTGTCTGCGGAGAGACAGAGTTAATGTTTTGAGTCTGATTTGACACTATTTCAAAATTGGGCAGAGCTCTAAAGAAGTCCAATTGGGCTTGATGTTACCTCTGTTTCTCTCTCCACAGATGCTTCCATCCCTGCTGAATTTCTCCAGTGATTCCTGTTTTTATTTTGGATTTTCAGCATTCGCTGTATTTTGCTTTTATTTGGGAAAGCTGCAAGTTAGACATCCAAAAATGAAGGCATCAGCCATCATGTCTGCGCTTCATCCACACTGGTTTTTTCTGCCCTTCATGCTAATGTACAGTAGATGTATACAGTAGATGTAACATTCATAGAACCACACATAGCCATGTTGTAATTTCTATGATGTTATTTGACCCCCTCTCAATATATCTAGTGTCTACCCCCCATATGAGCAATGGCACTGACTTTCTTGTCCCAGTTCCCACATCCCTTGTTCTCCAATCACCAATTCTAAATTATTGACATTGAAGTTGCTGATTTAAACATTTGTTTCACAACTTAACTGCTTGAAGAAAGGTTTCTCCTATCTTCTTGTCCTAAGTCTGTCATAATCCTATCTTTACATCTTTGGGACTCCTCAATTACTGGAAATAATCTGTTCTTTTTATCTTTTCTTCCCATTTCTCCTCAATTTAAGATTTTGAAAAGGCTTGACAAGGAAGATACTGAAAAGTTGTTTCCACTGGCTGAGGATAGGTTATGGGGCACAGTCTGAGGATAAGGGGTCGATTGTTTAAGACTGAGATGAGGTGAAATACCTTTGCTCAAAGGATTGTGAATCTTTGAATCCTGTACTCAAGAAGTAAAGGTCCTTTTCATTGAATGTATTTAAGACAGATATGGGGGTGTTTGCAAATGAGGGATCAGCCTAGAAAGTGGAGTTGGAGCTCAAGCTCAGTTATAATCCTGCTGAGTGGCTGAACAGGCTCAAAGGGCCGTAAGGTGGTCTGCTGCTCTAACAAATATAACCCCACTTTTATAAAGTTTGTCTTCATATTTGTAATTCTTCACATCAGGCAGTGCCATTGCGAATCCCTACTCTCCCTTTTCGGTTGCTTCAGCATTGTACAACATGGAGCCCAGAGCTGATCATAGATTTCTTACAGTGGCCATGATGTGGATTCATAAATATTTAGTATTAAATTAGGACCCTCCATTTGAGTGATTACTTACTTTTAAGGTCTTGGAATTTTGCACTCTGAATGCTTGTGTTCTCTTGCATCATCCAACTTGTTTTCTTTCTCCTTTCAATACTCTCAACTTAATCTTGCTCTTTTTGCAGTTGCATTGCTTCAGAAAAAGGCCCTTCAATTGCTGCCCGGTATGAGCAGTGACAGTGAGAGTGAATGTGAAACTGAGATTGAGGAGCAAGAAGGGAACATGTCCACAGAGCTTGCGACTCATAACTTCACTACTCAGAGTTCTGGAGAAGGTACGATTCTACATATGCATTATTGAGTGTGTTCTAGCAATAAATTTTGTCTTAAATTGTCTATGGTTGGTAAACATGTTTTATAACTTTGACGTAATTGAAAACCTTTTTGGATGATTTGAATAAAAATGCAAAGGAATTTGGATTAATTCTGATTTTAAAAAGTACATTGTTGAAAGTGTCCAATTTGTCAACTGGTTGAAAAGAGACAGCAAATTATGGCATTTTTTTTGGTGTGTATCATTTCATTATAATTAATTTTGATGTAGGATCCAAACTCAACAATTTGCCCGGGTGAACCTGACCCAGGGTCTTTACTTACATTTACCTTTCCTGTCAGTAGGTTTGTCTTGTTTGAACTTTTTGTGATCCTGGAGGTTTGGAAAAGTCTTGCCTTCAATGGTATTTACATCATCAAATAAATCCTGAAGTACAATTCAAATCTGGTGCAAATAAATTATTCGGATATTGCTTTGAAATTTGTATCTTACATCAAAGTCTCCATGACGAAAAGGTTTGCAGTCTATAAAAATACGTTTGAGTATCCTTATTGCTAGAGAAGAATGGATTGACTTTCACATATTCTCACCACTTGTACGTTTCTATATGTTTAGTAATGTTGTTTCAATGGTCCACCACACTGTTGTAGACAACTTTTTAATATACCTCCTTTGTTCCACTTTCTTTATTCAAACTGTCATTCCTAATCACATCTTGTGAAAACATTAACCCCAATTGCATAAATTTCATCATGTTCTCAAATTTCACAGTTATTTTTACGATATCTGAGCACCATTGGCTCTATTTAAATGCATCTTCAACAATATGACTTGGTTACTTCATCCAGTGAAATTGCAGCGCAGAGATCGTAGAGGTCAGCCATTTGATCTTGGCTCATACTGTTTGATCATTTCAGTTAGGAAGGAAAGGGGCCATCAATAAGGGATTCTGCTAGGTGGCCTTGATACTCTAGACCTAGATTCAAGCTCCAGGGTATTCATCTACTAGTCTCTAGAAGTGTGAGTAAATACTGGGTAAGGACAGAATTCAGCTAATTTTATAATACATCGCACACCTTGCACTCAGCTTGTCAGTGCTTACTGTGAAGCTTCACAGTTGATTAACAGCCATTTGTTCAAAGTCAAAAAGACATTTGATACCTGTAGAATCATGAACACTGAACGCTTTCATGGATTGAAAGAGGAAAATAAAACTTGAAAGGGTGGTAATGAAAGGAGGGTTTTTAAAATTTCTGCAGCAGTCTGCTGGGTGATCGTATATGATGCAGTTTACTCTGGAGAGCTAGAAGGGAGGAGGGAAAATCCAAGTTGACCCAGCCTACATTGGTGGGGGACAACTGCTGTGGAAAGCTTGTAGATCCACTGGTAGTAGGAGGAGTATAGCTTACTTAAAACAAGAAGACTGAGAGAGGAAATTTCTCATTTTATCCTCCCCTTTTTGTAAATAAAACACGTGCTCTTGTAAGGGCTAACAGTTTTATTTTTATTAATTGAGTAACAAAGAGTTTATGACAATGACCTTGGAATTCTACAGACCTCGTACAAGTCAACTTAACAGCTTTGCAAGCTTTGGAAACCACAGGAGAGTTTATGACCCATTTCTCACACTGCCAGCCTGATAAACTTTCCTCCTTTGAACATACTAAATTTATGAGATAACAAGGTGTAGAGCTGGATGAACACAGCAGGCCAAGCAGCATCAGAGGAGCAGGAAGGCTGACGTTTCGGGCCTAGACCCTCCTTCGGAATTGGGGAAGGGAAAGGGGGTTCTGAAATAAATAGGGAGAGAGGGGGAGGCGGATGGAAGATGGATAGAGGAGAAGATAGGTGGAGAGGAGACAGACAGGTCAAAGAGGGAGGAGATAGGTCAGTCCAGGGAGGACGGACAGGTCAAGGGGGCGGGATGAGGTTAGTAGGTAGGAGATGGGGGTGCGGCTTGAGGTGGAAGGAGGGGATAGGTGGGAGGAAGGACAGGTTAGGGAGGCGGGGACGAGCTGGGCTGGTTTTGGGATGCGGTAAGGGGAGGGGAGGTTTTGATGGTTGTGAAGTCCACACTGATACCATTGGGCTGCAGGGTTCCCAAGCGGAATATGAGTTGCTGTTCCTGCAACCTTCAGGTGACATCGTTGTGGCACTGCAGGAGGCCCAGGATGGACATGTCATCTGAGGAATGGGAGGGGGAGTTGAAATGGTTCACGACTGGGAGGTGCAGTTGTTTAGTGCGAACCGAGCGTAGGTGTTCTGCAAAGCGGTCCCCAAGCCTCCGCTCGGTTTCCCCTATGTAGAGGAGGCCACAACGGGAACAGCGGATGCAGTATACCACAGTAGCAGATGTGCAGGTGAACATCTGCTTGATGTGGAAAGTCTTCTTGGGGCCTGGGATGGGGGTGAGGGGGGAGGTGTAGGGGCAGGTGTAGCACTTCCTGCGGTTGCAGGGAAAAGTGCCGGGTGTGGTGGGGCTGGAGGGGAGTGTGGAGCGGACAAGGGAGTCATGGAGAGAGTGGTCCTTCCTGAAAGCAGATAAGGGTGGGGAGGGAAAAATGTCTTTGGTGGTGGGGTTGGATTGCAGATGGCGGAAGTATCGGAGGATGATGCGTCGGATCCAGAGGTTGGTGGGGTGGTACATGAGGACGAGGGGGAGTCTGTTTTGGTTGTTATTGCGGGGATGGTGTGTTAGGGATGAGTTGCGGGAAATGCGGGATACACGGTTGAGGGCGTTCTCGACCACTGACGGGGGGAAGTTGCGGTCCTTGAAAAACGAGGACATCTGAGATGTACGGGAGTGGAATGCCTCATCCTGGGAGAAGATTTGGCGGAGGCGAAAGAATTGGGAATAGGGGATGACGTTTTTGCAGGAAGGTGGGTGGGAGGAGGTGTACTCTAGGTAGCTGTGGAAATCGGTGGGCTTGAAATGGATATCGGTTTCTAGGTGGTTGCCAGAGATGGAGACAGAGAGGTCCAGGAAAGAGAGAGAGGTACTAGAGATGGTCCAGGTGAACTTAAGGTTGGGGTGGAAGGTGTTGGTGAAATGAATGAACTGTTCGAGCTCCTCGTGGGAGCACGAGGCGGCGCCGATACAGTCATCGATGTAACGGAGGAAGAAGTGGGGTTTAGGGCCAGTATAGGTACGGAAGAGGGATTGTTCCACGTAACCTACAAAGAGGCAGGCATAGCTTAGGCCCATGTGGGTACCCATGGCCACCCCCTTTGTCTGTAGGAAGTGGGAGGAATTGAAAGAGAAGTTGTTGAGGGTGAGGACGAGTTCGGCTAAGCAGATGAGGGTGTCAGTGGAGGGGGACTGGTTGGGCCTGAGGGACAGGAAGAAGCGGAGGGCCTTTAGGCCACTGTATGGGGAATGCAGGTGTATAGGGACTGGACGTCCATGGTAAAGATAAGGTGTTGGGGACCAGGGAATTGGAAGTTCTGGAGGATGTGGAGGGCGTGGGTGGTGTCACGGACGTAGGTAGGGAGTTCTTGGACCAAGGGGGAGAAAATGGAGTCGTAATAGGTGGAGATAAGTTCAGTGGGGCAGGAGCAGGCGGAGACAATGGGTCGACCAGGGCAGTCAGGTTTGTGGATTTTGGGAAGGAGATAGAAGCGGGCGGTGCGGGATTGGGGAACGATGAGGAAGTGATTTATGATTTGAGATCTATACAATGTGTATTTTCTTTTCAAGCAGGTGATTTGGGCAATTCTGGAAACACCAATTTTGTCAATGGAGATGCAAAAGAGTAGTAAGTGAACAGAAGCTTTTTTGTGTTCATTTTGAGCTCAATGTATTGCACCTAGTAGAATTCAATGCATTAGATCAAAAGACCAGCATTGGCGTTGTTATGATGCTTTAATGTGAAAAACCCCACTCAGCTCCCCAGCCACCTACAGCAACATTCCTCAAACTCCCAGCTGTCTGGCCTGCACTCAGCACGAAATCTAGCCTTTGAACACCATTCACAGAATATTTCTACTCAATCTCACCCACAACTCCACTTTTCATTTCTCACTGTGGTCATTTGACTTGATGGAAGGGACGCAAAATTGATATGCAGTTTGTATCACAGCATAATTTGACTAGACCATCCAAACACTATTGGATTCTGCTTTACCAAAACTACCAAAGCTGCTAATTACTTGCTACACCTCGATCATCCTGGAATGTAAAAAATTAACCCTCACACCCTCACCCCTTTTCCCCCAATCAACAATCTCCCCTGTATTTGCATCTCCAGCAGAGCTCATGGATACTTTGTCACTAAATTTGAGACTCTACAGCTCTTACACCCTTGTTGCTAAAACATTGACCACTTGTTATCCTCCTGCCCCACCATGCTAGCTGCTGCTGTAAACTCTGTTTCTGGTTCTGTACATGATCATCCCTCTTCAAAAAAAAAGGCCTTTGAGCCTGCTGCCCTTGTAAACTGCTGCCCATCTTGAACGTCCATTTCGTCCAAAGGCCTTGTGTGCAATTAACTCCCAAATTGTCCCTGGTTTGAATCCCCCACTGTGTGGATTCTGACCTGCCACAGGACTGAAATGGTCCTATTTAAAGCAACAATGACACCCTCCCTGTTCTTCATTGTCAATTTGTCTAAAATCTTTACACTGTTGTTCGGCACCATTCTCCACTACTCGGACTAGGCATTCATTCCCTCAAGACTTGGCATTGCTCTCCTGCTGATCTCTAATCTTTTACATCCAAACATCTGGTACTCGTATCTTAATTCATATCAAGTTCTATTCTTGTCTGTTCAGTCAGTGAATCTATAATGTCTTCACTTCCCATCTCTGCAGTTATCTCTGGAGTTCCTGAGGGTCTGCCCTTCGTCCCCCCTCGTTTCTCAGCTATGTGCTATCCTACACCAATCTCATTCAGGAATACATCAAACTACAGAAGTGCACTGATGACATGTAACCTGCAATGTAACCTGTATGCCTCCTAAGTCTTTTTGATCTGTACATCCTTTGCCGTGATCTGCCTGTACCGCTCGTAAACAAAGCTTTTCACTGTATTTCGGTACACATGACAATAAAATCAATCAATAAATCATTGCCTTTCTCAACTTGACTAACTTTGTATTGTCAGACTTGCCCAACATCCAGCCCTGTATGAGCTGAAATTTCCTCCAGTTAAACAATAGGAAAACAAAAGTCTCTGTCACAAATTTCTATCACTAATCTCTGATTCCCCTGTCTCAAACTGAACCAGACTGTTCACAACCTTCGGTTTCCATAAACAGAGCTTCCACTCCAGACCCTCTCCCTTACCAACCACAGACTTCACCTTCCGTCTTAACACCTATCTTCTCCTGTGCCTTTATTCTATCTGAATCCTCACTAGCTGTTGGTCTCTTAGTCGGCCTCCCATCTTCCACAGTTTGAGCTCATTCAAAGTTTGTTGGCTGCATCCTTATTCACACTAAAGTATATCCGCCCTTCGTTCTGTGCTTGCTAACCATTTGCTCCTGGTCCACCAGCATTCCCATTTTTAAAGTTTTTGTCATTGCTTTCAAATGTTTCAATAGCCTCGCCTTTCCCCAGCCCTGCAACCAGTAAACCCGGCATTCCTTCAATTCTGGTCTATTGTGCATTCCTCCACCCTGCCATTGGCAGTATAGTACTTGCACAGTGCATTGAAGTGTCACCCTACACTCTACTGTACATTGGAGTGAGATGTAACCTACAACCTTCTGATTTGGGCTACTAGCAGAGCATTGACCCTTGAATACAAATTAGCACCAGCACTTCAGAAGACAAGTTTAGTGGTTGTTTGTTGATTGGAGTTTAATTTTTTTCCACCACACTCCGCCCCAACCTCTCCCTGAGAGGCCAACTGGAGCACCCCTGTCCCTTTTCAAAATGATGTGGAGGTGCCGGTGTTGGACTGGGGGGTTGGACAAGGTCAGAAATCACACAACACCCGGGTCATAGTCCAACAGGTTTATTTGAAAACACAAGCTTTCGTAGTCTTGCTCCTTCAGGTGTTAGTGAGAGAGGTGGCATCAGTCACAGAATTTGTAAGTAAAAAGATCAAAGAGTCACACAACTGATGAGGATGTATTAAACAAACCTAAGATGCTATTTGCTCATCAGTTGTGTAACCATTTGATCTTTTTACTTATAAATTCTGTGCCTGATGCCACCTCTCTCTCTAACACCTGAAGGAGCAAGGCTCCGAAAGCTTGCGTTTTCAAATAAACCTGTTGGACTGTAACCTGGTGTCTTGTGATTTCTAACCTTTTTGAAATAGCTGTCTCTATGTTCTTGAATGGTTGAAAGCAGAGGAGGTTACAGAGATAGGGAAAGGTAAAGCCATAGAATTTAAACTTTGACTTATTACCCGGCAAGAATGTATTTGCTTCTAAGTAATTAGATCTTTGTGTCCAATAAAGTGCATGATAGGTGAGAGCGTCCTACAGGACATCCAGCTTCTCTTTGGGGAAGATTGTGTAGTGGTAATGTCACTGGGCTAGTAATCCAGACACCAAGGCCATTGATCAAGTGATATGGGTTCAAATCTCAACTTGGCTGTTAATAAGTCCAGAATTGAAAAGCTGGACTTAGGTTCCCCAGCCATCATTACTGTTGTAAAAATCCAACAGGTTTACTAATGCCCTTTTAGGGAAGGAAATCTGCCATCCTTGTTCACTATGGCCTACACATGACTCCAGACAATGTGATTGACTGTTCTATGCCCTATGAAATTAAACCATTCAATACATAAGCAATTAGCAATGGACAACTGATTGCACACATTTGGGTAGAACCTAGAATTATCTAGTACATCCTTTGCAATGATGTGTGGGTATCTCCTGAGCACGGGATTGTGGCTCTGTAGTCCATCATAACTGGGGAGGCTAGTTAATTCTTTGCAGAAGTGTTGAGGAAATTGCAAGTTATGTAGTAGCAGTTTGATGATAACTGTGTGGAACTACTTCAACTGAACAGAATAAGGAGAGGAATCTGAGCAACTAAACATTTACCTTTTTTGATTCTTTTTCTTCACAGATCATAAGGACCTTGTCCATGGAAGACATTTTTATCCAAATTTCGGTGAAAGTGTGGAAAAGATTGCTAAAGGAATTTGTCCATCTTTAATTAGAAGGATAAAGGAAATAACCTGTAACATCCCATGTGAAGCTAACGCTTGCCTGTTACTCATGCACTACACCAGCTGTATGTTGCAGCAAGATCCCAGTAAACCTTTGCACTAATGGATTTTTCTTTTCTGTCTTATCATCAGTGGGTTGGAATTAGTTACACAACCATTCAGTGGACAGTCCAAATTCTTGTTGAATGGTGCCTTCAGAGCTGGTGGGGACTGTATTAGACTGCACTTCCTATTCACAAGCCTGCATGCAACATTCTTTCCAGAATGTATTTCAGGATTTAGGCTGCATCTTCTGGGGAAAAAAAACGTTTACTATTAAACAACGAGAGTGCATTGGAATGATTTGCTTGTAAGTACAATTGCCAAAGTGAAGTGGGAGATGATGAGGTTCTTTTAACTGAAGCTATTTTACAAACACCAACCAGCTGCTGGTTGGGTGCATCTTAAACTGAACTGTCATTTTTGGAGCAGCCCAGCAGGTGAATCGAGCTATTAACATCCTGTGCACTGGGTTATTGGTGTCTCACTGCCATGGGCTCTCACCTAGCTGAGCTTGTGAGCAGCCCATTCTAAGTATTCATCTTAAGCAAGTCAGAACAACCTTTCTGAAGTGATCTGCTTAGTAACTTTCATAAAATGTATGTTTCTTCAACTCTTTCTAGATGAGAGGGTGGGTGTTTCTTGCCAAACAATTTCGTTCTGCCCCTAATTCCCATTATTTGGCCAGAACAACGCGCAGGCAACTGTCTGCTAGACCTTTAGTCTCATTATTGGCAGAAAATGAGCTCTACTCCCCTGGACACATCTGCCCTTTCCTGCGCATGGCTGAATGGGGAAGGTGCAGTGCTGAAACCCTAGGGTGCCTTTGGGGAGTGTCTCTTTTAAGTAGTCACAGACCACAGTCTGTCAGCTGATGATTGTAAGTTTGTAAAATATCCCACTCAGACCAAAAATTAATAAACTAATTGAATAAAACAATAGGTAGGCATTACTGGCTGATATAAGGTGACTCTGTGTGCATGCTGTGATTCAAAGACCATATTAGATTCATGATGAGGGACATTCACAGTGAAGTGTTGCATTTTTCCTGTCTCTGATGCAGTGAACACAGAATAGAATGATACATTACACAACAACTACTTTGCTCAACACTTGTAAATTTGATTTGTTCATGTCTTTATACTTGCTTTTACCGCAAAATTACCTGAATGTTGTGTCTTCGCTGTGATTAATTACTGTTAAGTGCCTGTGTTCTAACTGGCCATATTTAACTGCTAGCCCATTGCTCCTCTGCATAGTAACATCACATTGTAGCTCTGATTGCCATAGGCTGCGGTTACTTGTTCCATTGTCTTCATTTTTGACGCAGTTATGATTGTAGATTTCTAACCCTGCTGCATGGTGTATAACATACTTCTGAGCAAAAGTTCTCCTACAGTTTGGCAGCATTGTACCCTGGTTCGGATTGCTGAACACCTCCAAATTTTGTTGAAGGAAACTCTGGAGAAAAGTTCAGTGGTCTGCTGGTTATGAGTGTTACATGACCAATGAACTCCAGATTTCTTCAGAACTAAAATTTAACATACTGTATCAAAGTTGGGAATGCTTTAGTCACTTTGCAAGATTATTTGCGTCTGACTGTCAATTATAATTTCTAGGTCAAGGATAAAGCTAAGATTCCAATATATGCTTTCAAATGAATTTATTTCCCATCTAAGTACCATGTTGTTTATTTATTTCTATCTCCTGCTTTGGAGCAGCTATTCTGTATGATCCACAAATGTACACTTCTCTGCAATTTGCTTTTCTTACAGTAGGCCCAACAGGCAATCATTTTGTAGATTTCCTTTTTGTTATGTAGATGTACCTCAGTAGTGCAAATCACTGTCTTCCTCTGGGAATTCTCAAAGCTGCTGGTTAAAGAGCTGGTACCTTTCTGTTGAGAGAACCCTTTACATAAATTCTGAGGTGTTATATGTGTGTTAAATGTCTCCTCTACCCCCAGCTTTTATTCATAATAGCAGCACTTAGGAATTGTATCATTGGTTTGTTCTGTCAGTGTGAGGAGCACCTATTGTATGTTTTCCCCCAGTGTCACTGTCCTCCCCTTTAATTGTACCAAAATTAAACATTCCATGTTGCTGAAAATGAAATAATGGTTGCTGGAATAAATTGGTATTTCTGGTATTTTTTATTGGCTCTGTTGACATGTATGACTCCTCTTCCCTTTTCACTGACCTGCTGAAATGTGGAGAGATTTTATTTTTAAACTTGCTTCTGCTGCTTGGAGTTTTTCTTTTGGATGGCAATAAGTTGCATGTCTAATGACTGAAACAATATGCTGTGAATCCAGGTCTCTCTCCTGTAATTCTGCTTACGCTGCCGCCGCCAGTCGTCGCTGCCACCACTTCCACCCCCCCAGCCCTCCAAAAGAAAAAGCAGTCCCATTCTGCCAATAGTATATTTAACTCTGAACATTTCAGTTTTTTTTAATGCATTTTGGGGTCTTAGTTTCTGTGAATTATTTTTGCGCTGTGCTTTTTGGGGAGGTTCCTACTGAGGGAACTCACAGTTTGAGCAACAGCACCTTTGTAAAGCATTACTAGTGGCCTAACCTGTGTAGTAGGAAGCTGATTGCTGATGTACAGTCCTGAGTACTGTTTCTGCGATGCATGGTGAAATCCAGAATGTGATGTGTCTTGTACTGTGAAATACTGTTTAGAAAATCCACAGTTTTTCTGTAATGTATATTGTGTTTGCTTTTTAAATACTGTCTCCATTGTGTTTACATGATCACATTTCAGCACTTTTTTAGTTAATAAAACTGAAAGATATTAATTCTTCGTTGGGGTTTGCTTCCTGTGAACAGGGAGAGGTGGACGGTTTAGTGACAGTCAGTTTCCAGCCAGGACCATCTTTCTTCAGAGAAGCGAAAACAATAGGATTTTGACGGTTGTCTTTACAGTCTGAGAGAAATTGGGCAACCGGTATGAATCCTTTTAGCAGAGGAATTTTGCTATAATATAATGCCTTTTCTCTTGAGAACTTCTCCGAGTGCTTAATGTAATGCATTCTACATCTTGAGTGCATTTGCAAATTAAATTGCTGAATTGGACAGGGAAATTCCACAATACCAATGAAGTGAGTGAGTAGTATTGGTCATGGAAGTGATATTGGCCCAGGCCATGACCCTTGGAGTGCTGCTGTGGATTTTTAACATCCATCTCTACAGGCAGTCAGGGCTTTAATTAAATGTTTTAACTGGAAGATGCAGTATGTGCTCTGAGCAGTTGAGTTATAAGCAGAACTCATAAATGAAATAAAGAACGGCAGATGCTGAAGATCTGAAACAAAAACAGAATTTGCTAGAGAAACTCAGCAGGTCTGGCAGCATATGTGGAAAGAAAGATAGCGGAGTTAAACCTTTCAAGTCCAGTGAGTCTTCATCTGGTAGTTCTGAAGGAGGATCACTGGATTTGAAAGGTTTAACTCTGCTTTCTCCCCACAGATGCTGCCAGATCTGAGTTTCTCTGGCAATTTCTGTTTTTGTAATATACCCCATCTGGCCTCTCAGGTGGACTAAAGAGTTTACTTGGTGTTATTTTAACAACAACCAAAGTAATTCTCCCTGTTGTTCAGATCCACTATTGATCCCTTGCATCACTAAGATACAAATTTATCTGGTATTTACCTCATGCTGCTTGTGAATGTTTGCCACGTACAGATTGTTTGCCAGATTTTCCGCATTATAACAGTATGCTTCAAAAAGACTTTATTGAAAAGTGTTTTGAGACATACTAAGTTGGTGAACAGTAAATACCTGTTCTTTCCTTTAATATTGACTTTGTCCTTGAGCCATGATACCTTACAGGACCCTTTCGTAGTATTACAGATGCGAATCCATATTCGACGATGTGAAATGTGGAGAATCATGTATTGCAGACACCGTTGTTTATTGGGGAATCAATCTGCTACTTGCTTCTCTAAGCTGTCACATCAACACTCATGACGAGAGGTCTTTTCTGATGACCAAGAATTAATCGTTTGGCTACTGGCTGTTCCTTTTTTTAAAAAAAAAAGTGGGAAGTGGGAGAGGGAAACACGATACTTACGCTCACATGCCAGATTGAGCCTGTAGAATTTGTCCAAATCTCTACAAGTAACCCAGTTTAGCTTCTGTCTCTTTTCCAGAATTTTTCTGGCGACACACCGACTCATAGAGGTTTACAGCATGGAAATAGGCCCTTTGGCCCAACTCGTCCATGCCAAGCCGTTTTCCTGAATTGAACTAGTCCAATTTGCTTGCATTTGACCTATATCCCTGGAAACCTTTCCTATCCATGTACCTGTCCAAAGGTCTTTTAAGTGTTGTAATTGTACCCACCTCTACCACTTCTTCTGGCAGCTCATTCCTCATACGCACCACCCTCTGTGAAAATGTTGCCCCTAAAGTCCCTTTTAAATCTTTTCCCTCTCACCTTAGACCTATGCCCTCTTGTTTTGGAATCTCCTACCCTGGGGAAAAGACCTTGGCTATTCGCTTTCTGTATGCTCCTCATCATTTTATAAACCTCCATAAGGTTACCCCTCGGCCCCCTGCATTCTAGGGAAAAAGTTCCAGCCTCCCCTTATAACATGGTGCAGAAGAAATAAATTTGTATTTTTTTCATTCTTTGGATGAGGGTGTTGCCGACTAACCAGCATTTATTGCCCATTCTTAATGGGCAGTTTGGTGTCATATGTTGGTTAAACAGTCAAAAGTCAGCAGATTTCCTTCCCTGAAAGACATTGCCAAACAACAACCAACACCACTAAACAAACTTTATATTCCAGATTTATTTTAATATTGAATTCAAAATTCACTATCTGACATGCATTAACCTGGGTGTTCTAGATTACTGGTGACATTACTACAACACCACCTTCTTCTTGCACACCATCTTAAAACTTTTGAATTGACTTGACTTGTTTTGCTTTTCTTTGGGCCATCATTGTTGTTATCCAGTATCACAAACTGCAAATAATCTGAAGCAATCAATAGTTGCTTGCTGGGAACTGGTGAAATGTTCTTTTTTAAAACTTGTTTCTGTATAACTTTTTAGTCTTGTTTATTCGCTATCTTTCTATGTCTCTTGGCCTGTATGTCTTTCTAACTCTGTCTGAGTTTTAGCTCTGTCTGCCTCTTGTTCTCTGTTGATTTCTTTGACTCTGTCTCCATTTCTTTCTCCTGTCCTGCCTGTTTATTTCTGTCTAACTAACCAAGACAGTCTCTTCCGCTTTTTCACTCATATACATACACACGCACACACATACATACATCTGTTTAATTGTTAACCTTTTTTATTCATTCATGGGATGTGGACATTACTATCTTGGCCATCATTCATTGCCCAGAGGGTTGTTAAGAGTCAACCACATTGCCATCTTTACCTGGTCTGGACTACATGTGACTCCAGAGCCACAGCAGTTTCCTTCCCTAAAGGACGTGAGTAAACCAGATGGGGTTTTGACAATCTACACTAATATTATGGTCATCATTAGACTCTTAATTCCAGACTTTTGTTTTTTAATTGAATTCAAATTCCACAGTGTGCCAGGGTAGGTCCCCATAACGTTACCTGGATCTCTGGATTAATAAGTCCAGCGATAATATCGCTAGGCCATTACCTCCAGTATCGTTCCTATTGCCCTCCCAGACATAAGGCACAATGATGCAAAAAGATTGAATATTACTGAATCTGTTTGATAAATAATGGATAAGGACTGAAATACCTCTCACTCTCAGATACCATTTCCACTATGTGAATGAATCATTAAACTCTGGGTTTCCACTGTGGGCTCTGAGCAGTGTGAACATATTTGTATGAAATTCCTTCATTACTCTTAAATTGATGCCTTTGATAAAACAGATGAAAGCATTTCCCCGATGATAAATATGAATCCATCTGAGTTCATTCAGACTGCACCTGGAGGATGGGATTCCTACTGCCTTTCTTTTGTTGTTCGTCCAGTGATCCTGATGGGAGGGTGACTGTCCTTTGCAGTGTTAGCAACTGCAGACAATCTTCAACTCCTCTGCTCAAAGTAATCATTCCAAGGAATGGGTACCAGCTGTATGTGCTTTTCAAAAAAAAATCTAATGCTGCAGTCTAGAAGCTGCCTGCAAAGCTTGGCGTGAGTCACCCAACTGCGATGACTCACAGATATTCAAAGCAGAAGTGCTATTGAATGTCATTATATATAATTTAATGGGGAGAAATTATATACCACAGATCTTGCTATCTGACAGTTAAAATTGAAAGTAACCATGTACAGGACAGATAGATTCCATTAAAAAGTCATTGAAAGTTACCTGCAATCATTACCTTTCTGCTCTTCAAAGTTCCTTTTGTTCATGGATTTTCAATTGTGTGTGATCACATTGGGGAACAGATGGCCCAGCTGATTCAGTCTCAAACCTCCCTGACGTTTTAATTTTCACTGGGGGAGGTGAATTGTGCACAGTTCCAGGGAGAAGCTAAACAGCAGGGAGGATCTTCGTCACATTTCCTGTGAGCTCCAGAAGCCAGTGGGTTTTTGCAAGTCTTTTCCATACAGAAAATGTTTAATTTACGAAGAAAATGACAAGTGAGCACCAATGCAACAATCAATTAGAAACTGTACTATAGCATTGAAATCATTCGAAATGATTTTTTTTGGGGGGTGTGTGTGGTTTAGACTCAAATGAAGACCTGGACACCCTGAAAACAATTATTTTCAGAAGTTGAGGCCTATCAGACTGAAAATATTCCCCACAGATACTGCGAGACCTGCTAAGTTTCTCCAGCAATTTTTTATTCTAGATTTCTAGTGTTTATAGTTTTTTTTAAAAAAGCAAGATGCTATCTCTGAACAAGTTTTTTTTTTACTTGAACCCATGCCCCTTGGCTCAGAGGTAGGGTCTGACCACAACAGCCTTTCACCTTGCTTTTATTTTGGTTTGGTGATAAACATATTTCAGCTCTATTAATAACTGTATCCATTCATCACTCTCAAATGTATTATTTTGATGGAAAGCGGGGAAGTATTTAATTAACTGGGCCTTGGTTCAGATTCTTGAAGTGCTGTTAGGTCTCATGGGGTAGGCCTTTGGGTGCTTGGGTTGCAGATAGCTCAGACCTTTGAATACAGGAGTTGGGATGTCATGTTGACGTTGTGCAGGACATTGGTGAGGCATCTGCTGGAGTACTGTGTGCAGTTCCAGTCATCCTGTTATTTGGAAGGATATTATTAAACTGGAAAGTGTTCAGAAACGATTTACCAGGATGTTGCCCGGAATAGAAGATTTGAGATATAAAAATAGACTGGAAAGGCTGGGACTTTTTACAGTGGAGCACAGTGGAGGGGTGACCTTCTAAAGAGGTTTATAAAATCATGAAGGCACAAATAAGATGAATGACAAGGGTCTTTTCCTCAGGGTAGGGGAGTTCAAAATTAGGGGGCATATTTTTCAAGGAAAGTGGAGAAAGATTTTAAACCACAGAGTGGTTCACGTGTGGGATGAGAGAAAAATGGTGGATGCAGGTACAGTTAAAATGTTTAAAAGACATTTGAATAAGTACCTGAATAAGAAAGGTTAGGGTCTGTGTCCATGCTGTATGACTCGATGACTCTACAATTGGCCAAATGTATTTTTTTATGGCAGATTTGCAACCAGGGAGTTTATTTTAGTGGAATCTGCCTGATCAGTGCAATTTCAATTTTGGGTGCAATTCCCTGATTCTACACAGAGAAAACTCTAGCCCCAAGAGGTCTGCATCTTTAAATGGAGTTTCTAAACCCAACATCCTATATTAACTAATCAGAGAATGCAGCATGTTGCAAATAGCCTTTAGTAAGAGGAAACCCCTAAAAATAATTTATGTTTCAAGTCTATCAAAAGGCTGCATAATTAAAACATTCTATGCTACACCTTGCTTTTTTCAAGGTTAAATGCTGGTCACCTTTATAGATATTTTGTATCAAACTTGAACCAAGGCCTCCTGGCTCAGAGATACGAACATTAAAGAGCCCTAACCCTCTGTCACATCTCTATCCTGTGAGATTGGTGCAAACCCAAAGTTGGCCTCCCATGGTGCCAAGGACAGTATGATGCATCAGCCCCCACAGCATATTGGTTTTCTGAGAATCTCTTGTGGACAATAATCATTTTGCTCTCCAGAAAATTGTAGCTTCAGCACCCTGTCTGCACTGAAGCCAAGTGTTGCTTAAGGTTCATTCTTGACAATGTGGTCTTTCACTGGCAGTTCCTCTAGTGATAGCCCATTGAGAGGAGGCCCTGGCTGGAACTGCTGTAGTCACTTATGCAGCGAAGAGGCTCCCACATTGCTATCAGCACAGGAGTTACAGACCTAGCACCCACTGAATGAATAGGCTATACATCTATTACTGTATTGGCCTAACTTTAAATGAAATACACCTAGGGCATTACAAATACACTGGTGGGCAAGATTAAGGGGAGAATCACAGTATATTCTACAAATAGATCAAGGGGAAAGAACAACCAGAGAAAACGTAGGATCCATTGCCCCCTTGATCTCTAATCTGTGTGTGAATCCAGAAGACACTGGCAGAGTATTAAATGGGTACTTCATATCTGTCCTTGCTCAGGAGGAGGATGCAAGTAGAGAATTTGGGAAGGTGGGCTGTGAAATTCCTAAATAGACTGATGTAGAGAGTGAGGAAGTATTGGAGGGTTTGGCAAGCTTAAAAGTGGTCAAATCCCCAAGTCCAGATGAATTGTTTCCTTACCTGCTGCTGTCGGAGATGAGGGAGGAGTTTTTAATCCCTCTCTGGCCACATGCAAGGTGCCAGAGGACTGGAAAGCAGCTAATGTGGTTCCACTTTACAAGAAGCATGGTAGAGATAAACCAGCAACTTACAGACCGGTTGCTCTCATGTCAGTAGTAGGGAAACTATTGGAGAAAATTCCGAAGAAATAATTTCCATTTGGAGATGCAAGGTTTGACTGGAGACAGTCAGTGTGGCTTTATCAGCCAGAGGTCATAGTGAAAGATTCTAGTGGAAGTATTTTTGAGAAGACCAGGTGTGTAGATGAGGGTAGTGCAGTCGATGTAGTTTGCATGGATTTCAGCAAAGCTTTTGACAAGGTCTGGTATGGGAGACTTGTAAAGAAGGTAAAATGGAAACTTGGCTTAGTGGCAGGAGACAAGAGGGTGGTGGTAGAAAGCCTTTTGGTAGAAGCCAGTGTGCAGTGGTGTACCACACATATCAGTCCTGAGTCCCATATTCTTCATGATTTATATATATAAATGAGAATATGGGGTGGGGGGGCACAGATATTATAAGTAAGTTTGCAGTTGACAAACAGTGGCCAGGTAGTTAATACTGAGGAAGGTCTTGGGTTCCAGGAGGATAGAGGCAGATTGGTCAGATGAAAATTAACCATTATGTGTGTGAGGTGATGCACTTTGGATGAAGTATCAAGGGAGTACTCAATGAATGGTAGGGCATGAAGATGCTCAGAGGAATCTTTGGTTGCTTGTTACAGGTCCCTGAAGATGACAGTACAGGTTAATGCACTCCCTCCCCAACACCAACACTCAGTAGTAGCAGTGTGTACTACTTACAAAATGCACTGCAGAAATTCACCAAAGATCCTGAGACAGCACCTTCCAAACCCACAACCACGTCCCTGTAAGACAAGGGCAGCAAATTCATGGGAACACCACCACCTTCAAGTTTCCCTTCAAGCCAAACACTATCCTGATTTGGAAATACATCACCATTCCTTCACTGTCATTGAGTTAAAATCCTGGAATTCCCTCCCTAATGGCATTGTGGGTCAACCCACAGCATGTGGACTGCAGCAGTTCAAGAAGACGGCTCAGTACCATCTCAAGGGCAACGAGGAACAGGCAATAAATGCTAGCTAACCAGCAATGTCCACATTCTATAAATAGATTCTTAAAAAGTAGTTAAGGTGGCACATCGAGGCAAACTTCCTATCAGCCGTGGCATAGATTTAAGAGCAGAGATCTGTACAGAATAATGATTAGGCCACAACTGAAGTACTGTCTACCATTCTGGTCACCACTATAGGAAAGACATGATTATACTGGAGGGGTGTGGAGAAGATTCACCAGGACTTTGTCTGGGATGAAGCAGTTTAGTGATGAGAGGTTGGATAAGGATTGTTTTCCTTGGAGCAGAGATTGTTGAGCAGGATTGAGGGGCAGCGTGAAAAGAAAGCAGCTGAAGGGTCTGTTAGAAGGGGGTGCACTTTTAAGGTGAAAGGCAGGAGGTTCAGAAGGGATCGGAGGAAAATTTCTTTCACCTAGAGAGTGGTAGGATCTGGAGTGCACTAACTAGGAGGGTAATTGAGGCAGGAAATCTCAACCTTTTAAAAAGTACTTCAATGAGCAAATGAAATGTAACAACATTCAAGACTATGGGCCTCGTGCGGGAAAATGGGACAAATGTAGATTTAGCATAATTTTGGTGATACAGACTTAATGTGTTGAAGGGCATCTTCTGTACTCTGATTCTATGAAGATGTCATGTCAGAGGAAATCTGCCTCCTCTGTCCAACAACCTAATAGTCCAGCAAGTAAATAAGGGCTCATCAAACTGGTGAAGTCCCTTTAATCATTAATTAAAGGCTTTGCTTTTAATAGTACAAAGTGCTCCACCATTTCCAATACACAAGATATTACATAGAACACAAAATGTACACAGACTAAACAGCATTAAAACAGATTATAATTACAATAGTGTTGTCACCTTTTTGGTGTTCAAGTTTTTAAGACCTTATATATATATATAATTTTTACATTATAATCACCAGAAATACCATCATTAGAAATTACAAGATACTGACCATGTAAATACAGCTACTGGTTGTGGGGGGAGGAGGGCAGGGAGTTTATTATTTATTTAAACAAGAAGCAAATAAGGGCACAGAAATTCAAACCAGGTTAAGGACTATTTGCTACCACCAGCTGCAATCAGTTAAATACTACGTGTCACAAAGCCAGGATTGTTTTAATGTGTGGAAGCAGTACAGTCAAACTGCTTCAACTGTAGACAGTACCTATACAACTACAGGCATTGGTACAAGTATACAGGCAAAGTGCTACAGTTGTAGTCAGCACCTATAAAACTATAGGCACCAGTACAGGTGTACAGTCAGAAGTATTTTCAAACTGAAGATGTACATGTGTAGTTAAACTGCTTCAACTGTAGACAGTACCTACACAGGCACCAGTACAGGTGTATGGACAAATTGCTACAATTGCAGGTAGCACCTATACAACCACAGGCACCAGTATTCAAATTGCTTCAATTGCAGACAGTACCTGTACAACTACAGGCATCAGTACAAGTGTACAATCAAACTGCTCCAGTTGTCGTCAGTACCAATACAACTATAGGCACCAGTACAGGTGTACAGTCAGAAGTATTTTCAAACTGAAGATGTACAGTTGATATCTGTGCAGGCAATATCTGTGCAGGCAGACTACTAGAGGTACCAACTTGGATGCACAGTCAGAAGAGTAATGTCAGACCATCACAGGTCCTATACAGGTACCAATACAAAATGGGTTACACTAAAACCAGAACGCCAAAGAGACATACAATTAAAACTATGATTAGCATAGGTAAGTGGCTGGATTGCTACCTGTACAGGTGAAGTGATACAGTCAGATCCACTGTAAGCAGTGGTACAGGTTCTAGTGCAGCATACAGGAGACCAGCACAGTTTCATAGTCAGACTTTCACAGCTACCAGTGCAGGTATATTATCAGACCAAAAACTACTAATGCATCATACATGTCTTACAGAATTACCTTGAGTTTCTTCAGAAGGAGATACTTTCTAAAGTTTAACTAGCTACCAGTAACTCATGACTGTTACTGTCTGTATTTGGTAGGGAGTGCCCTGATGAGTGTACTAATATATATGTTTTTTTTAAATACAAGCCAGGACACCTGTTCAATGTGTAATGATTATAACAGCCTTTAGTTTATAAAAAAAACCATTACAGGTGTTGGAATCATCAATTTGAGAGCCTTAGCCTCACAGGTTTGATTCGCTATGAGTGAATAACCACAGCCAGAGACAAACAAATACTTTTAACTATTGATTATCAGAGAAATCACTATTACTGCAGTTTAATGTGTTCTGTAAACTGAGATGTTCACTTTCACACACGCATTCTTCCCACTTCCCCTATCCAATCGGAAATGAAACCCTTCTTTTGGATTAGGTTTCAGTTGAGCCCAGCTCTAAACTTTTCCACTTTCTGACTGAGGTAAATCCGAGACCAGGTCAGATATCTCTTCAGCAAGGGGGTTTTGCAAATCTTGCTGGGCTGCCAATATCTCTGTGCACCATTCAGTCCTGGGAAGGAGGAAGGTGGAGTGAGGCAGGGAGGCGCATGGACAGTGAAGGAAGTGGCTGTGACAATCATCCACCAGACTGGCTGGGGACAGACCGCAACACAAGACCCCAACCATGGTGAGGGCTGGAATGGAGTGTGGGTGGCAGGTTAGCCGGAGCATTGTCTAAAAGGTCTGCTGGTGTAATCCTTATGTCTGAAGAATGGTAAGCCAGAACCCTAGACGAATACATTGAGAAAGTCTGTACAGTTAGAGAATTTGAGTTCACTTCAGGAAATGACAGGAGTAAATGTGCCCACAAGACTTTGGATTATCATAAATGCAAAAGTGGTCCATAATGTCCTTCAGGGACAGAAATATGCCACCACTATTGGTCTGGCCTTGTGACTCCAGTCCAACTCCAATGAAGTTGGCTCTCAACTGTTCTCTGAAATGGCTGAGCAAAACATTCAGTTGCTTTCAACCAGTTCTCCTCTCCCCCTGACTGGCAATAAATGACTGGCACTGCCAGTGATGCTGCTGAAATTGGTTTTTAAAAAAATAGATGCACTCTTACTGGGTAAAAAGGGAGCTGCTTGAGTACAAAGGCAGGTCAGAAATTGCAGCACATGTCTATGTCACCTGTGGAACTTGGCGACTAAAGGGATCAATGGGTATAGGGAGAAGTGGGAACAGTGCTGTATTATCAGCCTTGATCCGATGGAATGGCAGAGCAAGCTTGAAGGGGTGAATTGCTGACTCCTGCTCCTATCTTCTACGTGTCAGACAAGTAGATCAGAATATGACACAAATTCTTCCTCCCTCGTTCCTCTCCACCACCCATGCCCCACTCCTGGCAGCTGGCTATCGGGTCACGAAAAGTTCTGGGAACAGTAGGGGAGTGGCATCATTACAGGTAAAATGCCACAGTGACCCTGCTCTGTCTACAGAAACCAGTTAAGATATGATCTTCCCTGGGTAGCATGGCTTACTGTTATGGGCTTCAGCTACTACGCCTGGGCCGGGAATATAAGATAACGTGAAGATTACGAGTTGATTTATAAGTTAGCTAGAGTGAGGTGAGGATTGTCTAGGAACAGAGGAGTAAACAACTCCAGTCTAGTAATGGGCAGGTAGGGAAGGAGGGGGTAGGGTGTGACAGCTTTACTGTTGAAGTAGACATGAGCTACTTGACCTGGCTGGCACCTCTCCATGCCAGCTGTCAGGAGTCACTGCCCCGGAGCCGCAGGCACTGCCCGGTTTTCTCTGCCGCGGTGCCCGGTGTACTGAGCCGTTGTGATTCCTCGCGGTTTTGCTGCTGGCCCGCCGGCTGAGGCGCAGCGCTGACCGCTCTCCTCGCTGCCTGGCCGCCAGGGCCCCGGGGAAGCAGGGAACCGGCCTCTCCGCCCGGCGCTGCCTCCTCGAGCGCCCCGCGGGCCGGGTCTTCCGGTGTCGGACGGCGCCCGACGCAAAGTCCCTGCGTTCCCGCAGGCTTGGCCCCCTGCAGGGCTGCTCGGGCCTGCACCGCACAGCAGGCCTTTCCTTGGCACCGGCTCCCATCGGCAGGACGCTAATCGGGGGGCCTAGAGTCAGGCTAGTTCTGTCGGTCAGCGAGTCCTCCCGCGTGTCCTGCGTCAGTTCTGAGGCGGCGCCATATTGGTGGTGGGCTCGCGAGCCCTGATAGTCGCCACGGTTCTCCTTGTCATCACCACCGTCTCCCTGCGCGCCGTCGAACGAGTTCCCAGTCCATTTGGAGTGACCGTTGGCCCCGCTCTCTTCATCCGCCGGCGCGCTCAGGTCGCGCAGGAACACCACGATGACCGTTATGTTGTCGCTCGAGCCCGCGTCCCGGGCTGACGCCACGAGCTTGTGAGCCACCATGCTGCTGTCGCCGTTGTTCTCCTTGAGGTGGTCGGACACTACCCTGACCGCCTCCTCGGGCTCCATGGTGTCGTAGAAACCATCGCAGGCGAGGATGAGGTAGTCTTCGGTGCCGTCCAGCACGGTGGAGTCGCTGTCCGCCTCGCCGCAGATGTACGGCTTGTGCTCGGCATCGCCTGGGGATGAGGAGGTGGGCGAAAATTTTTAAAAAAGTTAGACACAGAAACCCTGAGAGAGAGAAAGGTTTGTATTTGGGACGGCTCTCCCTCAGGTTAACAGGAGAAATGGAGAGAACATCGGAAATAGGACCAGAAAACCATCAGGGGATTTCCTCAGCCCTCCCAACTCCACCACTCAATCAGATCTTGGCTGGTCATCCACCTGAATTCCAGATTTCCACAGTAGCCTTCACATCCAGCACCAGAGGAGCAGAAATTCAATATTGGGAAGACTGAAGCTATTGTTTCCAACCCCTCTGCCCCAGCCTGTCCAAACTCAGTTCCCTAATTGCCAACTCCATTCCTCTTCCAGGCTCTAGGCTCATCTGAAAGAGTTGCTATTTTCTTCTCTTCCCCCACCCGCCCCCAATCTCCAATCGTCTGTGGCTGAAACCCTCACTCATGTCTTGGTTACCCCTCAACTTTCACTATGTAAATGTCCTCCTGACTGGTCTCCCATGCTCCACTCTTCATAGATGCCAAATCATCCAGAATTCGCAGCAAGACCTTAACCATATGCTTACTGATGGACATTGGCTCCTGGTCAAGCAGTTCCTTGTTTTAAAATTTTTGTTCTGTTTTACGAATCCTTCCAAGGCCTCTCCCTTCTTCACCACTGTAATCCTCCAACCCCCTCCACCATCTGAGGTATCTGCCTCTTCAGCATCCCCAAATTTAATTGCTCTTCCATTGGTGGCTGTGCCTTTGCCTTGTCCTTGAGCTCTGGGATTCCTTCCCTATACCTCTCTCCCTCTAGGCCTTGATGTTCTGCTTTGATGCTCTCTTACTTCTTTGCCCAAGGTCCTCTATGCTAAATCCCAATGGAGGGATTGTCTTTTGAGCAAAGGTCAAAACGGTTGGGACTGTACTCATTGGAGTTTAGAAGAATGAGAGGTGATTTCATTGAAACATTTGGGATTCTTAAGGGTAGATGACACAGTAAATGCTACGAGGATGCTCCCACCTCATGGGAGAGTCTAGGACCAGAGAGCATAGTCTCAGAATAAAGGGGCACCAATTTACGACTGAGATGAGCAGGAATTTGTTCTTTCAAGAGGGTTGTCAGTTTTGCCATGATCCTGTTGAATGTCACAGCAGGCTTGAGGGGCTGAATGGCCTACCCTTTTCATATTTCTTATGGTCTTAGACCTCCTGCTCAGGAACATTGTGTTTTATAATATTCCTGCGAAATGCCTTGGGAGACCTTCTGTTAAAGTCACTTTTTAAATATGATTCTCTCAAACCAAAATTCAGATTTAAATTTACTCAATGACTGAACATTACAACCCTCTATGGTAGAGCATTTCTAAGATTCACAATCCTTTAAGTGAGTGAACTTCTCCTCAGCCCAGTCCTAAATAACAGAGTCCTTATCTTGCTGCCCAGTTCTAGACTGTCCTGCAGGTAGAATCAACCTCTCACCCTTTGACCTGTTGAGGCCTCCCAGAGCATTCTATATTTTCAATGAGTTCACTTCTCATTCTTCCAAACTGCAGGGGACATCATTCTGCTCAACAGGATGCAGCAGGAGCAGTGACCACAGTGTCTGAGGTGCAAAGGGTCCCAGGTGTACACACAGCCAGCTTTCATGACCCTTGATGTCCTAAAGTGCTTTACAGCCAATGAAGCACTTTCTCTGAAACTGTAATTGCAGTAAAGCAGTGCATAGCAAACTCCCACAAAGAGCACTGTGACTTCCTTAGGTGCAGTCTAATATTTTATCTTTGTTTAATGTCTCGTTTGGGAAAAATAGCACCTCCAACGATGCAGCAGTCTCTCAGCTTGGCACTGAGAATGTTGGCCTGAATATTGGACTCAAACCCACATACTTTCTGGCTCAGTGCTATGGCTGATGCCACGTTAATAGATCACAAGCGGATTGAAAAGCAAACTGAGTTTAGGTTTCAGTTGCTGTCTAGTGATAATCCACAGGGTTTGGATACGAAACATTCACAATCGTGTAACATGTGTGTTCACCCCTTGTCTATCTTATCCAAATCAGATGTGGGAACTTAAGGCGGGCAGGCTGGCAAAGTTTCCTGCATTAAGTTAAAATCTAGGAATCCCAAGTGGACCATGTGTACAAACTGAATATTCCTGACCACTACTGGACAGAGCCAGAGTGAATGACTGGATTACAGGAAGCACTGGAAGCACTTCTGATTTCTATATTTTTAAGAAGGATATAGAGGCACTGCAGGAAGAGACCAAAAGTTTTGAGGATGATCCAAAAGGTTATGCTATCAGGAAAGATTGAAAAGGCACCTTCCTCTCGAATGATCTGAGAGGTATTTAAAATGTAAGGGGTTTAAGAGGATATTTGATACAAGAGACCTAGAGAAGATGCTTCCACTTCTGGGGGAGACTATCACTCAGGGATGGGAGAGAAACAATAGTCATAAATAAATCCAGTTGAGAATAATAGAATGACTTCTTTACCAAGAGAGTGAAGAGAATGTAGAACTCGCACCCACAGGGTTACGTATTAAGAGAAATTTGGGAAACTCATGAGTTTGAAGGGAGCAGAATGCTAAGCTGATGGATGAAAGAGATATGTGTGGAGCATACAGACTGAGATGGACTAGTCAGGTCAATTAGTCTGTTTTTGTGTTCTCTAAGGAATAAGAGTCCAGCCACAGTCTCTCGGTGGTGTGTCGAGACGGGCAACAGGGATGAGGCTGAAAATATAATCAGAGCCAGTTTCCTGATTTAAAAACCTCACCGATGGCTCTGGAGACAGAAAGGCTTCCATTAACTCGCCAAGCCCCGAACCACACCACACAGCCTCCGAGCGCTTCAATTCGCTGCTTTTCATCCTGAGGGAGCAAAAGGGAAGAACGAGTTGGAAAAAATTACACACATCAACTCAACTGAGATATTTGGTATAGCCTAATCTTGTGATAGACCATCCATCATTGGGTCCACACTCAGGTGTAAAGTGCACATTGAGACGTGCACTCAGAAGGAAGCCACCTCATTGTATCTGTGTGGAGGATGAAAATTCTGCTTCACCAGAGCAAATATAACAGCAAATAGACAACTATTTTAAAACAAGATTTCTAATGTCCAATTTTTAACCTCAAAGAATTATTACAGTCAGTAGAAGGCCACTCAGCCTACCATCTCTGTGCTGGCTGTCCTTGGGGCAATTCACATCATGCCATCTCCTGTACACTCTTCCTTTTCAAATAACGGTCTTATTCCCTTTTGAATACATTAATTGACCCTGTCTCTATCACACTGTCAGGCAGTGTATTCCAGATCCTAACCACTCACTGTGTGCAAAAGTTTTTTCTTACCTTCCCTTTGCTTCTTTTGCAAACCGCTTTAAATATGTGACATCTTGTATAACAAAGAACAACACAGCACAGGAATAGGCCCTTCAGCCCTCCAAATCTGCGTCAACACATTTTGCCCTTCCATATTAAAACTGTCTTCACTTACAGGATCCATATTCGTCTTTTCCCATCCTATTCATGTATTCGTCCAACTGCTTCTTGATTGCTGCTATTGTGTCTGCTTCCACCACCTCCTCTGTCTTCGCATCCAGGCACTACCCTCTGTGTGAAAAATGTGCCTCGCACAGCTCTTTTAAACTACCCACCCCCAACCTTGAACCTGTGTCCCCTAGTAATTGACCCCTCCACTCTGGGCAAAAGCCTCATACTTTCTACTCCATCCATGCCATTCACAATCTTATAAACTTATATCAGGTTGCTTCTCATCCTCTTGTGTTCCAGCGAAAACAAACTCAGTCTGTCCAACCTTTCTTCATAGGTAAAATCCCCCATACCAGGCAACATCCTGGTAAACCTTTTCTGTACCCGCTCCAAAGCATTCACATCCTTGTGCTAGTGTGGTGACCAGAACTGTTCACACTATTCCAAGTGTGGCCTAACTGCAGTTCTGTAAAGCTACAGCATAATTTGTCTATCTTTATACTCAGTGCCCCTTCCAATGAAGGCAAACATGCCATAGGCTTTTTTTACTACTTTATCTGCCTGCGCTGCCACCTTCAGTGATCTATGGACCTGCACACCTGGATGCCTCTGCATATCAAATACTGCTAAGGGTTCTGCCATTCACTATATAATTAACCCCGTACTTGTCTTTCCAAAATACAACACAACAGTCCGGATTAAACTCCATCTGCCATTTTTCTGCCCATGCCTCCAACTAATCCATATCCTGCTGTATTCTCTCACAATCCTCCTCACTATCTGCAACCCAACCAACCGTTGTATCATCTGCAAACTTAGTAATTAGACCAGCTGTGTTTTCCTCCATTTATGTCGATCATGAACAGCAAAGCACCTTGCACTGGTCCCTGTGGAACAGCACTCGTCACAGCCCTCCATTCCAAAAAGAATCCTTCCACCGCTACCCTCTGTCTCCTGTGAATAAGCCAGTTCTGTATCCATCTTGAGCTCACTCCTGGTACCATGTGACTTCACTTTTTGTACCAGTCTGCCATAAGGGAACTTGTCAAAAGCTTTACTGAAGTCCGTGTAGACAACATCAGCCATTTTCCCTCATCTGTCATCTTCGTCACCTCCTCAAAAAACTTGATCAAGTTTGTGAGGCACAGCCTCTCCCACACAAAACAATGCTGTTATCGCTGATCAGTCCATTTGCTTCTAAATGCTTATAGATCTTGTCCCTGAGAATCTTTTCCAATAATTTCCCTACCACTGAAGTGAGGCTGACAGGCCTGTAAGTTCCTGAATTATCCCTGTTACCCTTTTTAAACAATGGGATAACATTAGCTATTTTCCAGTCTGCTGGGACCTTACCTGTGGCCAAAGAGGATACAAAGATGTCTGACAATGCTCCAACAATTTGTTCTCTTGCCTCCCTCAATATTCTGGGAATAGATCCCATTAGGACCTGGGGACTTATGTATCATAATACTTTTTAAGATGCACAACACTTCTTCCTTTTAAATGGAACTTGGCTTAGAAATTCAACACCCCCTTCCCTGAAATCATCCTCTGCTAATTCCTTCTCTTTGCTGAATACTGATACACAATACTTTTTTAAGACCTCACCTATCTCTCTGGTTCCACACATACATTCCCTCCTTTGTCCTTGAATGGGTCAACCCCCTTCTCTGGCTACCCTCTTTCTTTTTATATATGTATAAAAAACCTTGGGATTCTCCTTAATCCTTTTTGCTAATGACTTTTCATGACCCCTTTTAGCCCATTTAATTCCTCGCTTAAATTCTTTCCTACTTTCCTGATATACTTTAAGGGCTTTGTCAGTTCCCATCCTACTAGACTTGATGTTGATTAGGTTTTGGTCTTTTTATGAGTAGGAACAGTTTCTCCATATCCATTCAGTCCAGCCCCTCATGATGTTGAAAACTTCTGTCAAGTTTCCTCTTAGCCTTCTCTTCTCCAAGGAAAATAATCCCAACTTTCTCCAAACTATCCTTAGAACTGATGCTTCTCATCCCTGGAACGATTCTGATCAACCTGTTCTGCACTCTGTCCAATGAATTCATGTACTTCCTAAAGTGCAGCACCCAAAACAGGATGCAGTACTCCAGCTGCTGCTGAACTTGTGTCTAATAAAAATCCCATATACCTTCCTTGATCTTGTACTTTCTGCCCTAGGATCTTGTATGATTTATGAACTACACTCTCCACCTCTCCTGTCACCTTCAATTACTTATTCATCCAGGTCTCTCTCTTTTGCAATCCCTTTAGCCTTTACTTTGTCTCTCCATATTCTTTCAATCAAGACCTTTCCTTGATTCACAAGGCCTAAATAAACCTTCACGAACCATGTACATCCTAAACACAAACAATTCTTTATGCTGTAAATCCGTATCACCCATTATAATGGGAACTGCCAGACATTGCAGTACCACCACTGACAGGAGGATCTAATTAAGAAGGAATTAAGTACCATCACCATCATTAAAGAAGTAGCATTAGACAAACTAATGTGGTTAAAGACAGATAAGTCCCTTGCCCCTAATTGCTTGCAGCCTAGGATCCTAACAGAGATAGCTACAGACAACATAGAACCATAAAGTAGAGAACAGACCCTTTGGCCTGTCAAGTCTGTACTGCCAAAAATAGGCTACTACTTACACTTGTCCCACTTGGCTGCACTAGGCCCATAGTCTTGAATGTTATGACATTTTGAGGGGTTATCCGAGATCCGAGTACTTTTAAAGGTTGTGAGGTTTCCCGCCTCAATTACCCTCTCAAGCAGAGCATTACAGACAACTATCGTCCTCTGGGTGAAAAAGGTTTTCTCAAGTTCCCTCTAAACCTCCTGCCTTTCACTTATAATTTATGTCCCCTCGTTATCGAGCCCTCATCTAAAGGGAACAGCTGTTTTCTATCCACCCTGTCCATGTATAGACCTCTCAGGTTCCCCCTGTCAATCTTCTCTTCTTCCCAGAAAAAACCCAAACTTATCCAGCTTCTTTTCAGAGCTGAAGTACTCCTTCCCAGACAACATCCTGCACCCCCTCTCCCACAGTGCATTCACATCCTTCTCTATAGTGCAGTGACCAGAACTGCACACAGGTCCGCAGCTGTGGCCCAACTGACATTCTGTACAGCTCCAGCATAATCTCTCTGCTCTTGTAATCTATGCCATGACTCATGAAGACAAGCAACCCATATGTCTTCTTAACACCCTGTTGACCTGTGCTACCACCTTCAGGGATCTGTGGAGAAGCACCCCAAGATCCCTCTGTTCCCCTGAGCTTCTTAGTGTCCTGCCATTCATTGAGCACTTTCTTGTTACGTCTTCTAAAGTGTATCACCTCATACTTAGGGTTAAATTCCAACTGCCCAGCTGAGCAATCTGTTTATATCTTTCTGCAACCTAACACTTCCTCTTCACTGTCAACCACCTGGCCAACCTTTGTGTCATCCACAAACTTACTTATCGCTGCCCCTCCCCACATTCATCTACGTCATTCATGAATATTACAAACAATAAGGTACCCAGCACTGATCCCTGTGATGCACCACTGCACACCAGGCTCCAGTCACACAAACAGCCTTTACCACTTTGTCTTATATCACTAAGCCAGTTTTGGATCCATCTTGTAAGTTATCATGTATCCCATGAGCTTTTATCTCCTTTATCAGTCTCCCATGTGGAACCTTGTCAAAGGCCTTGCTGAAATCCATATAAAGTACATAAACTGCCTTACGCTCATCCAAACACTTGGTCATTTCCTCAAAAAATTCCACCAGATTTGTTATGTATGACCTCTCCCTGACAAAGTAATGCTGACTATTCCTGATCAAACCATGCCCTCTAAACAGAAATTAATCTTCTCCTTCACTATTTCCTCCAGTAGTTTCCCTACCACTGAGGTTAGACTCACTGGTCTACAGTTCCTATGTTAATCTCTAAAATGGAACCATATTGGCTGTCATGCAGTCCTTTGGCACCTCCCTTGTGGCCAGAAATGATTTAATAATTTGGGTCAGGGCCCCAGATAGTGCATGCATTAGTTGTAATTTTCCAAAAATTCTTGGATTCTGGAGAATTGTCAGAGGATTAAAAATTTCCAATGTGACACCCATATTCAAAAAAGGAGACAGCCAAAAAGCAGGACAATTAACCTAATATCTACTGTTGGAATCAATTTTTAAGGAAGTAATAGCAAATTTTGAAAAGCATAATCTAATCAAGCATATTCAACATGGCTTCATGAGAGGGTAATCTCAACCAGAATGGATGGAGGGGAACCGGTAGATATGTTGTATATGGACTTTCAGAAGGCATTCAACAAGATACCTCAGAAAAGGTTAAGTCATGAGATAAGAGCTCATGGCGTTGAAGGTAGTATGATCAGTGGGGTCCCACAGGGATCAGTCTTGGGACCGCATCTGTTTGCACATACTTTAATAAGTTGGAGGAAGGAAGTAAATGTACTGTAGTCAAATTTGCAGGTGACCCAAGAAATAAGTGAAAGGCAAGTTGTAAGAGGTATGCAAACAGCATACAGAGAGATATTGATAGTGTCAGTAAGTGGCCAAAAAGTTGACAAACAATGTATAATGTGGGAAAATGTGAATTTGTTCATTTTGGGAGGGAGAACAAAAGAATAGGGTATTATTTAAATGGGGAAAACTGCAGAAAGCTGCAATACAAAGAGATTTGGGGGTCATTTGTGCACACAATGCAGAAAGCTAGCACCAGGTGTAGCAGGAAATCAGGAAGGCTAATGGAAGGTTGGCCCTTATTTCAAGTGGGTTGGAGTATGAGCTGGGAAGTCTTCCTGCAACTGTACAAGGTGCTAGTGAGACCACATCTGAAGTACTATGAGCAGTTTTTGGTCCCTTTAAGGAAAGATACTATTTCATTGGAGGCTGTTCAAAGCTGGTTGACTAGGATGATCCCTGTCATGGTGGGATTGTCTTATGAGCAAAGGCTAAACAGATAGGGACTCTACGGACTGGAATTTAGAAGAGTGAGAGGTGATCTCATTGAAACATATGGGATTTTTGATGGCCTTGACAGGATAAATGCTGAGAAGATGTTTCCCCTCATGGGAGAGTCTAGGACCAGAGGGCATAGTTTCAGAATAAAGGTACACCAATTTAAGACTGAGATGAAGAGGAATTCCTTCTTCAGAGGGTTGCAAGTCTTTGGAACTCCTTGCTACAGAGAACTATGGGGGCAGAGTCTTTGTGTGTATTTAAAGCTGAGATAGACAGATTCTTGATCAATCAGGGAATCAAGAGTTATGGGGAAGGGGCAGAAAAGTGGACATGAGGAGTGTCAGATCAGCCATGATCCTATTGAATGGCAGAACTGACTTAATGGACTGAATGGTCTACTCCTGTTCCTATTTCTTATGATCTAATTACAGTGTGATAAGTTTACATAGGGAATGACCATTTATAAATGGGCTAATCAGAACTTATAACAGAGATGTAAAGACAAGATTTATGACTTCAAATAAGGCATGAATTAAATCTAGTCTTCTGACTGAATTCTCTTTCCACTAACCCACTCCAAACCAAGACTTCAGTTGGTCTTGACACCCCTCGTTCTGGAAACTTCCAGGGCTAAATCTGGACTGTGTATTTGGAAACCTTGACAACTCAAGTTGGAATCAATGTTTTAATTATAAACATGTTAGCATCTTCAGCCAGAGTAAAGTAAGTTAGATGTCCATGGCAACGTGCAGAGCCTTAATGAGACGTCTGCTTTAGAAACAGTTCAGGTAAGGATTGAAAGACTCCTGGAATGAAGGAATTGTCTTATGAGGAAAGATTGAGTGGGTTGGGCCTATACTTGGAGTTTAGAAGAGGATCTTAAAGGTGAGGTTTGACAAGGTGGATGCTGAAAGAATGTTTTGTCTCACAGGGGGATCTAGAACTAGAGGTTATTGCTTAATGATGAGGGGTCTCCCATTTAAGACAGAGTTGAGGAGGAATTTATCTTTTCAAAGAGTTGTTAGTGTTTGGAATTCACTTCCCCAGACAATATTGGAGACTGGGTCATTGAATGTATTCAAGACCAAGTCGGACAGATTATTGATTATGAAGGGAGCTGAGGGTAGTGGGAGACAGGCACGAAGTGGAGTTAGGGCCACAATCAGATCAAAAATGACCTTATTTGATGGCAGAGCGTGCTCGAGGGACTGAATGGCCTGCCCCTAATTCATATGATCCTGTGTGGCAGATGTTCCTGTCAGTGCTGCCCTCCTCGTGTTTACTGTATAATTAGCAAGTCAGTATCTCTCAGTAGAGCATCAACCCTAAGGGTATCAATACTGTTAGTCTCAGCTTGCTCGAGCAATAAAAATAACTGCAATGTCAGCTGACCAGGACAGGGGTGATAATCCACTCCCATCTGAGAGGTCAAACAGGGTTAACATCTGGTCTGAGAGATGGCTACTGTATGTATTCCCTCAGTACTCTAGACTCTGAGGCAGATCGTAACCCCACCATCTCCTTCCTCAGGCACTATCCAAGGAGGGCACGTAGCCCCTGTGCCCAAGACAAATGACCAACGCTTTGAGATCACTGACCAATTACCTCTCTGTCAGGTTTGTGAGGTTTCATCAGTTCCACTGCCTGGCCCTTCCGCACCAACATCACTTGGGAATCACCCAGCCAGGCTACATGCAGCATGTTCCCTCGCATAAAGGTCACCACACCAGTCGTTCCACATCGCAGGTTCTAAAAGCAATAGAATGAGAAGAACGTATCTTTGTATTTGTGCTTTATTTATACCCTGGCCCAGATCCTCATGTGTTTGTGTGTCTCTCTCTCTCTTGCTATGTGGTGGGATTGGGGGGAGCTTCCTTCAGGCAAACTTCCCCTTTACTGTCCTAACAAATGTATCATTGTGTTCTGTATAGAATAATACAGCACAGAAGGAGCCCATACTGTTGATGTCACCTCTTTGGAAAGTAAAGTAGCCACAGTCTTAACCTGGCTTTTGGACTGCTGTCTCTTTAGAGAGAGGGTAATGCTTTAATCTGAGGGTCACCGTGCCTCAGACAAGGGAAGTGAGGTTGGGAAGGAGAATCCTTCATGGTAACTTAAGCCAGTCTAGGAATTGAACCCACACTGCTGCTATTGCCTCTACATTACAAGCTGGCTGGCTGGCCAACTGAGTTAAACATCCCTCTCTGGGAGAGCTGAATAGTTAATCTCCTACTCTTCCTTTCCTCAACCTGTTGCTATGCCAGTGGCAATGAGCAGAAGTACAGCAGCTGAGGGAAAATTCAGACTAGAGCTAGGAGAGAGAGAGAAGGTATGGAGGTGTTTGCTCCTTTATGAATGGAAACCAACAGTGAATGTAAAGAGCTCCATTTCTTACCTGCATCTACGTTTAAGTGAAATAGTGGTCAGTGCAAATTGTAGGGGACTTAAGTTTCTTACAGTGGATAGTTGGGGATAATTCTCCATTAAGAAGGACAAGGGCAGCAGATACATGGGAACCATCGCCTGCAAGTTCCCCTCTAAACCATTCATCAAGCTGACTTGGAAATGTATCATCGTTTCTTCACTGTTGCTGGGTCAAAATCCTGTAACTCCCTTGTCAACTGCTTCATAGGTGTCCCTACACCCCAAGGACTGCAGTGGTTCAAGAAGACAGCTCACTACCACTTTCTCAAGGGGCAATTAGGGAGACAGCCAATAATTGCTGGCCCAGCCAGTGGCACTCACATCCAGTGAATAAGTTTCAAAAAGAAGCAGAGAAGGTCGTAGGGAAGTCTAATAAATCAGTCAAAATGATGAAGGGTTTCAATGAAGAACTAAGCAGTGGTTAAAGATTTAAAACAATCAGAGAAACAGCAAGGATAGTGGATGGAGAATTTTCTTCACAGAGTTGTTAAGATTCCAATTCTATCACCTAAAAAGGTGATTGAATCAGATTCCACAGTAAATTTCAAGAGGCAATGTACGATGGAAGAGGATTCATTTGTCTGGTAATGGGTGGGGGAGAAGCTGGTGGTGTGGGATTTAATCTCTTCCAAAGAGCCAGTGGAAGTCTTGGGGGATAATGTACTTGCCTCTAAGCCAGACATGCTGGATTCAAGTCTTGCTCCAGGGATGAACAGCCAAGGAAGGTAACATGAAGAGGCTGAATAGGCAGGGGCTATTTTCCCTGGAGCATTGGAGGCTGAGGGGTGACCTAATAACGGGGCATAGAGGCGAATAGAGAAGGTCTTTTCCCCAGGGTAGGGAAGTCCAAAACAAGAGGGCATAAGTTTAAGGTGAGAGGGGAAAGATTCAGAAGGGACCTAAGGGGCAATGTTTCCACGCAGAGGGCCATGTGTGTATGGAATGAACTGCCAGAACAAGTGGTACAACATTTAAAAGGTATCTGCATGTGTATATGAATAGGAAGTGTTTAGAGGGATATGGTCCAAATGCTGGCAAATAGGACTAGATTAATTCAGGATATCTGGTCGGCATGAACGAGTTAGACTGAAGGGTCTGTTTTCCGAGCTATACATCTCTGTGACTCTGTGAACAAATAGGTCAAGTGTCAACATTCAAATAATTCTGACAGGCCAATGGTGAGAAGTTGGAGCAAAAATGTCTCCTGGTTAGACATAGCTCAATGTAGAGTAGAGTTCCTGTACATGTTGTGATAGGCTTACAGCCTTTTCCCTAAGTAACAGCTACAGAAACTAATGTAAATACATGTCTTGCCTGTTTCACAGTTCAGTAGGCATAGTGTTTCAAAGAGTCAGTACAGATAGGGCAGGCCAAATGACCTCATTTGGTGCTGCAAAATTCTCTTTAGCCCAGGGAGTGTTGTGTAGAATTTTCCGGTTGACCCGGGGTGGGTGGGAGATGATCACTCACCTCCCGGGCGGCCTTTTGAACAAACCGCTCATCCGTGAGGCGAAAGGCTCGACACAGGGCCTCAGCTGGGTCGTGCTGGAAGATCTCCTGTCGGACAAGGTTCACGTGGAGGTGGATGGAGGCATAGATTGCGGCATCCACTCCTCCATGTCCATCGAATACAGCGAAAAATGACTGCTCCTCCTGGTCCTGGTGAGAGAAGAAAAGGAAGTGCCAGAAAGGGGGAGAAGAAGCTGGCATTTCAGTAGCACTTGACCTGCTGCCAGGACCCTGCCAAACAATTGATAGCCAATAAAGCACTTCCTCTCTTTTGAATTGTGGTCTCTGTCAAGTAGGAAACAATCTGAGCACTGCAAGATCCCGCAAACAGCAATGCGATTAGTAAGCTAAGGTCATAATGAAGACTTAAAGGAGCTGTTTATTCACTGAGACAGCAGTTCAGTTCTGAATGGGAGTAGAATCATCGTCATAGAGGTCTACAGCCCTCAAAAAGACTCTTCGGCTCATCAAATCTGCACCAGTCCAAAACAACCACCTAACTATTCTAAGACAGCACAGTGTGGAGCTGGAGGAACACAGCAAGCCAGGCAGCATCAGAGGAGCAAGAAAGCTGACGTTTTCAGTCAGGACTCTTATTCAGAAATTAAGAAGGGTCCCGACCCAAAACATCAACTTTCCTGCTCCTCTGATGCTGCCTGGCTTGCTGTGTTCCTCCAGCTCCACATTGTATTGTCTCTGACTCCAGCATCTATGGTTCTTGCTATCTCTGCCTAACTATTCTAATCCCATTTTCCTGCACTTGGCCTGTAGCCTTGGCATTTGCAAATATATACCAAATTCAAAGAAATAGCAATTAACTGTGTGATCAAAGAAGACAAATTTGCAATGTTAATCTCAACAACTAGATAGCTCAAATCAGTTTACATCAATACTGTACCTTCCCAAAGGGAGCATGAGCCAATTAGAAATATGGATTAGCAATGAAAGATAGACATAGATATGGACTAGAGGGAGAGTGTCGCAGAGTAATGGAGGCTGTGAGGTGTCTTGACAGAGGGTATACTGAGGGAGGAGTCAGTAGAGCTGATTCTCAGTCCCTGTTGCCGGGACTGTGGGATTTTGAAGAAATGTCAGAAATGCAAGAGGTACCAGGTGTGACTGTCACTGCACACAGCCCAACATGGTCTCTGACCACCAGACTGTTCCCTCTTCCTCCTTCCTTCCCTCACTCTGCCCCACCACCACTTTCTCTCAGCTTCCCTCTGTCCTACCTCCACCACATTTATCATTCTCCTCAACTCAGTTCCTCCCACTCCCTAACATTTCTTTTTTCCCCTCTTTCCCTCAACTCATGCCTCTTCCTGCCTTCTGCCTTGTCATTCTCCCTCTTCCTCACCATCACCTGGGCCCATTGACTGCTTGGTTGGGGCCTACAATGTTCATTCAGGCTCATAGCTGTGACTTACCTCTAGATTGAAGAGAGTATTGAAGTCTGGCAGACAGACATGTTTGTCCTCCATCTTTCTGCGCATGTTTTTGATGGCGTGAATGGACGTTTCAAAATAGGGATGAGTTCTTCGTGTCAATGGCAAGTCTTTCACCCAGCTGCAGCAGATCTCGTGGAGTTTGGTGAACACCATTCGGGACAGCCTTGTTGAGTCAAACTCTGGAAATGTATAAAATCAATCCCTTATTCAACCCACAGACAGCAGAGGAAAAATCAAATCAAAGGAAATTACTGCAGTGGCTGGAAATCTGAAATAAAAACAGAGATTGCTGGAGAAACTCAACAAGTCTGACAGCATTTGTGGAGAGAGAAACAGAGTTAACACTTCAAGTCAAAATAATTCTTCAAACTGCAAAAGCAAATCTGTTTGAATTGCGATGTCCCTGAACAAATCAATTAGAAGAAGAACTAGACCATTTGGCCCTTCGAGCCTGTTCGACCATTGGATAAGATCATGGCTTATTTGATTATGGCTCAGGCATTGAGTACATTAGCTTTCTGCATGTTAGAAAACTGAAGGGATGTGATCTGATTTATCACCAGAAAAAACCTGGGGAGAAAAGGTGAAAAAAAAACAAAAATCTGCAGCCCCTGGCAGGTGAAAAATCTAAGCATCAAGTGTTTTGGATTTGAGATTGGAATTTGAGGGAAATAGTCCCTCATTAATAATACACTGATGACTTCTTTAAAGATTGCAAAAATTTTACCAACCAGACGACAAGGTTGACATTGATGCTTTCTTTGGATATTTTAAAGATTTTTATGGCTTTTTAATTTTGTTTTATATCATTAATAAATTGTGTAGTTTTAAGAGAGTTTTACTGCTAAGTTTTCTCTTAATAGTTTTAGTCAATAAAGTTTGGCTGATTGTGGCCTAAAATCCAGATTTCTGCCTCTTCCTACCTCTCCCTGATAACCTTTGTTTCCCTTGTTAGTCAAGACTTGGTAACAATTGAACATTGAGGCAATTGCAGCCTGCTTGAAGATATCACAATGGATGGAGAGGCCAATTCAAAGTTTCTTAATTCAAATATGTAGAGGGTTCTTACTACTACTTCTTAAACAATTCCATTAGTCTACCTAGACACCTGTTCCAAGTGTTGGTCATTCTGTGCGTGTAACAATTAAATTGAGACAGTACAGGAGGAAGCCATTCAGCTCATTGAGCATATTCTAGCTCTTTGAGAGAGCTCCCACTCAACTGCTATTTCTGCATCATGATCTTGTCCAAGTATTTGTCCAGAGATAACAAGGTGTAGAGCTGGATGA